AATGTAATTTGTTCGCTAGTATTTAGAAGGTTATGTAAATGTGATATGAGTTACTGGTCAAACAATATTGTAAACTGAAACGTATAGAAACTAGTTTATTATATACAATAATTTTATAATGTATATAAGTAAGATAGAAGCATTAATTGTTGAACGTGTTCTTTATACAGTAATTAGTTTATTTGGGTTATAACATGAAACTGTAATAAGTTATATGATGTGTTTGATTTGTTATATAATTTAATTATATGGCCTGGAAAATAATTGTTTGATTTGAGATAGGAAAACTCGGTTCGATAATATTTGTAATCAAAAAAATATGTAGAAGAAAATGCTATTAGATCGTTTGTATATTCTGTTTGTATAAGATACAAATTTATTATAATAAAGATTATTAAATTTATTTTATAGCTTTTTTTCAATTATAACTAAACCTATATACCCTGCATTAAAAACAAATAAAAATGTAATCTTGTTGTCGACTTCATGTCATCTTTTGAAGACAGCATTAAGACATATTACGCGGCAAGTTAAAGACGACTTGCCGGTGGACATTCGTCGTCTTAAAGACTTCTTATAGTACCGATGCGAAAACAGCCCGACACAAATATCATTTTATTAAAAAAATGATCACATCTCACGTACGTCTAATTGTACTTCTCGAAAAAATAATTATTTGTTACTGTACCATTATATTTCTCATAAAAAATAAAAAATATCGTTATCGATAATTCACCTCCTATTTATTCACATAAAGACATAATTAAGCAAAAATAAATTCACAGAAAAATTGTACCCTCTGTAGTCTAAATTGTACCATCAGTACAATTCTATAAATTTGTTTCTAAAAGAAATAATAGGACAATTCTAAAGCTCTACGCCTGCGCAAAGTGCATTTTCGGATGACATCCTTGTAAGTTGTAACAATTAGTGGTAATTTGTAATTGTCCTATTATTTCTTTTAGAAACAAATTTATAGAATTGTACTGATGGTACAATTTAGACTACAGAAGGTACAATTTTTCTGTGAATTTATTTTTGCTTAATTATGTCTTTATGTGAATAAATAGGAGGTGAATTATCGATAACGATATTTTTTATTTTTTATGAGAAATATAATGGTACAGTAACAAATAATTATTTTTTCGAGAAGTACAATTAGACGTACGTGAGATGTGATCATTTTTTTGTTTATAAATTGTTATTTGTGTCGGGCTGTTTTCTACATCCACTTATAGTGTCATTTTCAGTCAACTTTCAAGTCAACTATTGTCTTTCTATAGATAACTTACAGATTACCTGAAGTCGTCTCTTTGTTTGCTGGGAAGTCAGTTGACTGTTCGTATGGGACACAGCTCGCTATACTGTGAGAGTGTGAGTCGACACCAGAGCCAACGAATACTAACAGAACAGAACAGAACATAGAAAACACGCAGCCTTGTTGCTCGAAAAGTACATCCAGTAAGTGGTATCCTCAAAATCAATTTTCATACTCTCTGGAATTTTTCCTATATCCTCTGGAAGTATATATACTTAACGTCGGAAGCTCAGTACATGGGCGTACTCTGGGTCATTTATACTGGCTTTGATGCATGTGATTTGAGATGCCGGTGTAATATCGAGTGCTTTCATTTTGTTCTCGATGACAAGGTGAGGGATGACCGGGCATACATTCGATATTATGATTCTCTTAGCTTTAGATACTAATGGTCTCATTTTAAGTATATGTTCACCAATGTTTACTTCCATATTAATGTCCGTGAGTTGCTTAGATATATACAAATTCTGCCGTTGGAAATTCTTGAGACGAATAATACGTTGATTGGTTTAACGATTTTACCGATAGCAAGCGTGTAGTCTTTAATCGTCAAATTATCAATAACATCTGTAACAACTGCTTGATCTTTCTCAGGGATCTGTACCTGTTGTGCCATTCTTAAGTAGGATATCTTGGATTGAATTGGATTTTCGCTAGGTTTCGCTGGTTACATTACTTTGTGAGCTAGAACCCTTGAGATCAAGGGTCATCTTGAGAAAAATGCACAGTTGAGATAGTGCAAATGCACTATTGACATCATCCAACACTGGTCAATCCAAAGATACAGCAGGGGACTTCCAGAAAGTCTTGACAGATTTGCAAAATTTTGCCCCGCTTGCCTCAAATAGGCCTTCCTCTGCTGGTCAAAAGAGGAAAACCAAGGATAGTGAAGCACCATCTATTGCTTATTCTCCAGATAGTGGTCCATCCAAATCAAAAAGTGCCAAGGGACCAAAAAGACGACCAACAATGGCAGAACCAACCCCAACTAGGAAGTTAACTCGTTCCACAGCCAGGACAAAATCACAGGGGGCCAATCCTGCCCCTCAAGATACATCAGCTTCCGGGAAGGAACATCCCAAGAAGGGGGAGAGACATGGCAATACTCTTCCAGATCCGATCGGTGAAGCATTTAGAGATATAGAAGCACAAGGGTTGAGTACTCTAATTTCTCAGGACTCTGTTCATTGATGACTCTCTTGGTGTGCTGCCTACTGTGTCACCTCAACCTGCAAGGGGTTATACAGTAACGGAAGATATGATGAAATACCTCCAGCAAGAGGTGGATACTGCCCCCTATGACTTCTCTCTTAAATTAGAAGTGTGGTACACAGACAACTGGGCAGGTTTAGTGGCACCCCCTCCAGGGCTGACTGCCTGTCATTTCCTTCAGTTTTATCCTAAAGATAGGACTAATGCTGAGGCAATGAGAGACTATATGTCAGCCTCTAACAACTTATCTGTGGCAAGATTAAGGCAGGAATTAAGTGCTCCTTCTGAATGTATCAAGAGCTTGTCATTGCCCTACGAGTTTCCCTACTCGGAGGCAAATACAGCATCTGTGTTGGAGAACCTCACTCTTCATATCTCAGTGCTGTGTAGCAGGCTCTCCTCTTTTGAAGAAGGAATCAAGAACTTTACTGAGGTGATGAGGAGGGATATTAATCGGCTGGCTGCCTCACACAGAGGAGCACTTATAGACTCCACTCAGGCATTGAAATCCATTACTCTGAGCGCAATAGATGAACTGACGAGGCTTGCAGAAGTTACCAAGGCAAGCACCACCCCCATTTAGAGGAGTACTAGTCACACTCCTCCCACAATCAGGACTTCCTAGGGCAACTCTCTCTGCTCCTCGGGCTCCTGTAACCGCTGCTTCAGCCCCTGCAGTCATAACTAGGAAGCCACTCACCATCCTACCCAAAGCAAAAAACAAATGAGGTAATCCAAGATATAAAGAAAAAAAAAAAAAAAAAAAAATCTTGTTTTTCAAATAACTTTCTCAAAAATGTATCAATCAAAATAAAGCGTTCTTTTCTTTAATGAAAGATGGTAAGCTGGTCTTTTAATATTTTATTATATAATACATCATTATATCACGCGTAGAAACTTGATTGCCTGCGTGCCACTGCCGCGACACTTGATTTCAGTTTTTTATCAAGCTCACTGCGGGCTACAAAAATATGCTTGCGCATTTTTTGTCAACCAAACAATTCGTTCGTATTTAAAATTTTTATGGTCCTGCAAAGAATCGATTGTTGTGTAAGGAACGGGGATGCCGATTGAGCGTATTAAGGATGACCGCGGCAGCGTCGTCGTCATCCACCTTTTCATTCAACACCAAGTCCATATACTCCAGGGCTAGCGGTGATAGCGTCGGTATCCGTCCAGTACATGCCTCTAAATATTATCGATCGAAATCGAATCGGCACTCATATTCGCGGGCGCAGTAGACTACGACTGTCGTGTTTCATTTCTGGCAGCCGTGGTTGAGTCACTGAAGGCGCACCCTCGACAGCAGCCTGCGGTACGCGTCGTAGGAGTGCAGATCATTGAGCACCTTGCAACGCAGGTGCCGCTGACCGCGTTGTCTGCTCGGTCCTGTCCACTGGATATTGTTATCGCAACTGAAATACGTAGAACAACAATTATTATAGAAAAGTCTGGAAAGATAATTAATATAGACATATTTACTTTTTCCGCTGTCTCAAAAAGGGTGTTGCTTTTTGCAACCTGTGCCGCTCTGCATTATTTCGGCATTCGCTGTTGCGTTGTGCAGGACCAACGTAGTTAACAGGCGAGCACCCTTCTCGTCGGGCACCCCACTAATGTTGCATATCGACTTAAGGAATGACAAAATCAAATATCTCAGGCTGAAATAAAGATAGGCAAAGGAGCCAAGCGCCATTTTCAAGCTCGAGTAATGCTGGTTACTCGAAAATTATCCAATTTTTCGAAAAATTAAAATTTGCTTTTGAATTTGGAGGTCAAAGCTGTAAGTTTTTGAAAAAAAATTATTTTCTTCGATTTTGAGGATGATGATTTTTTGTAAACAAGGGCGGTCATCTTATAGCGCTTGGAAACGAGCGATAAGAATGTGACCTTCAAAACAAATTTTTTTCCTAAGGTCATCGAGAAAACAGAGGTCAAAAATCGATTCATGTAAATGGGAATTCCATAGATTTTAAGAGCATCATAGAGTATATACGCGTAATGGTTATGGTATTTAAGTTGATATCTCATCGTGATCTTGAAGGCTAATGCAACATTTATTGAACGCTATTCATTAATGATGATCTCTATGCGCAAAAAAAGTCATTCTTAACGTGCAGTAACATTTTCCAGCGTTACTCAAGCCAGGTTTGATTACACACACACACAATTCAGATCGTACTGCAGTATCTCATTCATTTTTGAAATCCGCTGAAAATCTCATTGATATATTTTAATATATAGCAAATTATAGCGGGCAAGAAGACGATGAAAGAAAATCATTCTGACTTTCAAAGCATTAGGACGTGCAAGATATAACATTACGTGTTGCAAAATTCAATGTCGTCATCAAAATGTATATCGAATGAGTATAGCTTTCGGTGCACATCGCATTATTTTAAAAGTTTAATTGTAAAGAAAGAAAATAAACAGACCAAAAATATAAAAAAACATTTAAGAAAGTGAGCGTTTAATGTCAAAACTTATATTACAGAATTTATGATTCATCAAAGTTAGTTTTTGTTATAATAATGTACACAAAAATCATTAAAATCAAGTTAAAAATATACACCTAGTGAACAGGTATCTAGTGAACAGTACCAATATTTTCATACTAAATTTAAAAATATGGAAAAGATATAAGAAAACAGTCAATAATTTACCTCAAAACTTCCTAGGACATCGCATGTAAATCAAAAAATAAATATTTTCAACGGTGGTCAGTTTCAAATCAATAGCAAATAGCATAAAGAAAATATGAGTCTTAGAAAATTGCTCATTTTATTTTTCTTAAAATTAGTAAATACTATAACTACTACCTTACAAATGCATGTACAATCCATCTGGAGATGATTCTTCAATTTTAAAGTGACTTGTACCCAGACCCAAAAATGAATAATAATCCTCGATGTCAATCGTATCATTTCAAATATTATCTCCAATTGCAAAATTACTCTTCATTCTGTATATAACTTTATAAATATGCCACATTTTTCTAACTCGAGTCTTTGAATCGTAGCTCAAGTTATTATAAAAATATAATATATTAGACAAAAAACGAATTAATCGTTATGTTATGCATAATTATCGTTATGCCATATAAACAAAAGTATTGATGTCATTATCGTGCCGCCGAATGTACTTATGTTCGATGAGCCATTCTATCTGCTCTTTGATCATTTTTTTACTAGGTAAAAACATATTCTTTAGTATATCAACTAGTTCTGTCTGTAGCTGACTATTTGGAATCTTCTTTCGCATTTTTAGAATTTTAATGATCGCTTCCTACAATATAAAAAGCGGATATCAATGATGCAGAATATATTGAAAATAATTAAAAAACTTGCATGGGCTCCATTTCAGACTTACTTGTACGCGTAGTATCCTAAGTTGAACAATTGACTGATTGTCTTCTTCTTTACTACGTTCAGTCGATAACTGCAAACGTCCAACCAGATTGATTTTTCCTCTCTTTTGCAATTTTCCATTTTTTCTGTATTCAAATAAATTTCATTACAAAGTATGATACAACTTTAACTACACTTTCCATATTGCTACTTACATAAGTGCAAACTCCTGATTAACCCAAAATTTCGTTGATTGTGAAAAATCTTTTGGGCTGTGAGCAGGTGGGTCAGCAAATATCAACTGGCGTTTTATTTTTGGAAAAGCACATAGCGACCAAAGCGTCCGTCTCAATTCAGGGTCTGGTAATTCCGTGGCTAATCGAAGATTTTCGTATGAAATTTTCTCAAATGGACGTTGATTCCAAGCAAACAGTACAGCCATTTGAAAAGTCGTCACATCAACATCGAATTTACCTACTTGATTGCAAAATGTAATCTGCAAAATAATTAATTAATTTAGTAAAATAATAAATATGCAAACCAAGGTACGAACAAAGCTGTACCGTTCCATTGGACATATGGTGATACCACTGAAGCTTTCTTCCACTGTGCTTTTTCTTATAGAATTCTTCAACCTCAGGTATATAATCTTCTAGCTGAAGCGGCAAACTAACAGTCACGCGCTCGCTACCTCTTGCCCAAGCTCCAGCATTTAGTATCTAAATAAACAATACACCATAAGCAATGTACATTTACCAGCAGAAAAAATCATATTTTTGTCAAGAAATTTACTTTAATATTTATGCTATCTGCAATTGTCGCTCGACACTGCTCTTTGAATTGTTGATTTAAATCCTGCGAGACTTTAACATCCTGAAACATCCGCGCCAATTTATTAACATAATCCGCTGGCATTCCTACTTCTCTCAACCATTCGACCATATTCTCTTCCTTTTCGGAATCCGCGGACGTGTCGAGTATCAATCTTCGAGTCAAATGCGCCTTATGGTACCGCATAAACACATCTTTATTTTGAACGTACTTTAATACCAACAGCTGTAACAGAAATTGTAAATTAAAATTTGAGATTGATGTAGAGAGATAAAGAGTAGGAAAAGTACCAGCTACTTACGACATCTCTCAACTTGCTCTCGATTTCATCGGACGTAAGTTTTTTGCTTAGCGGCGTCTTTCTCAGTAGCATATCACAGTAATTCGCCAGAAGTTCCGGACACTTAGACTCCGGCTGGCCGTTCATCACATTGGCTGGTTTGTTCGTATTGAAGTTTGGTATGACAGTAGGTGCTGGCACCGCGGCAGGTGGAGTGATCGAGGCAACACCAGTACCTTGCCTAATTGGTAACTCCAGTTTGAACACCGATGAGTCATTAACGACGAGTTTGTAAGCTTTGTCGCGAGCCGTAAGGAAACGGGGATCATCGTCAAAAGCTTCTTTGACAAGAGTGGAAAATCGACGGAACAGGTCAAGCAACCGCTCCACGTACTTTTCCGAGTCTTGTGTAATTATGTCTACCGCCGCCATCATGTCATCGAGACCTGCTGTTCCTATGTGATTCTCCAGGTCTTGGAGCATTGGCGTTACTCCATCTGGTACTCGATCCATTAGTTTCAGCATTAATCTCAGTTCTGCGAAAAATTTCTAATGTATAAAAATAGGTTGAATCTACAATGAATATTGATTGTTTTTGGAACTTACTCTCTGTTTGATGCTGCTGAATCATTCTAGGACACTCTGCAAGAATGGCAGACTTGAAGTGTGCGACTAACACTTTAACGCACCGCTCCATCAACAATTGCACACTAGCACTATTTGGTTCAAGGTACTTTTGGGCACGCAGCTCCTCTTCCTTCAACTTTTGTTCCGCATATTTCATGTAATGTTCTACACCATGATTTGATAACTGCTCAGGAGCTTTCACCCAATAAAAGGCTTCGGTTTCTTCAATGTAAGCTGCTTCAAAATTTTCTTTGTAGATTTCTAGCCTGTCTGATGGATTCAAGCACAAATTTACTACAAAAGATAAAGTTTGTGATTATTTTTCCATGTAAACTAAAGTTATTGAGAGAACAAGAAAGTTTCTTACCATACGATTCCCTAACTCCAATTACAAGTTGTGAATCAAAAACTTCTCCATTTCTTTCCGTACGAACTAGTCTCATAGCTGATTCTTGCAGCCTCTGTTTAATATCATTGAATATACTTTGATTCCAGCTATCCAACATTAACTAAAAATAAAATGTAATTGATTATGAAAATAAATAAAAATTTTAAGTGTTTAAAAGAATAAAAAACAAACCTTCCTAACAATACTTTCATCAGGTTGATTTTTCTTTTGTAGACTACTACTTGCCTTGCCTCGTAACGATGCTTCTAGCTGTCTAAATGGTGTGGGTAAATAATTACATTGAGTGAAAAACTTTCTCCATTCTGCTATATATGCTTTGAGCAGAGCCTGTTCTTCTTGATGTGCCATAACTCTCTACAAAAATATGTACCATTGATTATAGTAGCTGACTACATTCTATAAATTTTCTGAAGTATTAATAAAGTTAAAAAAAATATTAATAACTACAAAATCATATATAGTGTATGCCAAACCTTTTGAGCTTGTTTGATATAAAACATAATATCTTCTTTTAAAGCTTCTCTTAATTTGGGTGGACCTTTTTCGTCGAGGCACACCAGATGGACAGAATAAAATAGGTCTTGCCAATCTGTTTGTGTTACAGGCTCCTGCTTCAAGAGCTTTAAGATAATTGGACGCATATTTGGCCATGATGCTTCAAATGTAAAGTGACTCTAAAAATATTGATGCAATAAAAAATAAGTTATAATTTTCTATAAGTAAAAATTATGGATTGATTTCTGTACTTAATCTATAATTTTATTTTTTAATTACGCTTCATTGTGCAATTGAGAGATAAGATAACTAAAACCGAATTGCATAAAATAAATATTACTTTTAAAATAGTTATGAAATTTTATTTTATTTCTATTTAAACCAAACTATCTTTGCCGCGAACGTAGGGTATGAAATAAAACTTGCATTCTATTGAGTTTTTCTTAGAAAAGAGTACTGATGTATTTATACAAAAATGTATTATAAAAGAAACAAATCAAAAGTACTCAAAATATTCACAAATAGGATCTCAACAACACTAACGAAAGGTAGACGTTTACTCTTAAAAAATTAAAACTTGTATAATTATCGTCTCACCACCAAAGAAAATTCAGAATAGTGTTATTTTAAAATATAAATAAAGTAATTTATAAACCACTAACCTTTAACAACGACATCACCAACCCAGTTGGAAACTCTACTAAGTACTAAGCCAACCGTAGCGGCTTATTCAGGCCTGATAGATTTTCTTGATCAGGCTTTAGTCAGGTAAAAGTTATGGCGCGCGAATTCGTGCTTGGGCCATACGAAAGGATGCAATTTCCATAGATAATTTCGCGTGCTAACGATTCATTCAAGATACGAAGATATCGAGATCATAAATGAATTATTTATCTCTATTCAGAAAATTGTTCATACATATTATTATTCACTATTATTTTAATTAAATATTATTTTCATGATACATTTCAATACACTAATCACCCAAAGTTTTATGATGAAATAACTGCTTATAATTTTATAGGTACGATATACATTTTGTATTTACAAATAATTAACGAATTTAATAATTTATTTAAAATATTAATAAATGAAAAAACATGGAATTAATACGTAGATCTATGGATGAACGAAAAAATTAATTCTGCTATTATATAAATAAAGATTCGGAGCATGTCCTGTTTATATCGTTGATATAATAACGCAGCTTTTATATATATTTTATAAAAAAAATTTCGTACCGACAGATTTCTATTTTACCTGATGCGGATAAATTGTCTATACAAATCAACACACACACGCGCGCGCGCGCGCCCTATTGAAAAAATTCAGCTGGAAATCCAGGATAAATTTCCAGCTGGATCATATGAATTCCACATGGATTCCATATGGATTTCTAGGTGGAATTCCAGGTGGATTTTTATTAAATTCAGGTGAATTTCTAGATGAATTTCTAGATGAATTTCTAGATGGATTTATTTTAATCCAGGTGAAATTCTAGGTGGATTTCCAGGTGGATTTATATTAAATCCAGGTGGATTGTTAGGTGGATCTCTAGGTGGATTTATTTTAATCTAGGTGAATTTTCAGGTGGTTTTTAGGTGGATTTCCAATAAATTTTTTTATAATCCAGGATGGATATCCAACTGAATCATATTGATTCCACGTGGATCCCATATGGATTTCTAGATGGACTTTCAAGTGGAATTTTAAAAAATCAAGGTGAATTTCAGTGGATATTTCATAATGCAAGATTTCCAGCTGGATCATATGGTTTCCACATGGACTCCATGTGAATTTCTAGGTAGATTTATTTAATGCAGGTGGATTTCTAAGTCAAGTTATTTAAATGTTGCTATTTTGTTGTATGTTTGTATGTTGCTTTTACTTGTAATTCAAAAATATTTTTTTAAATTTAATTACTGATTTCTGGATGAATTTCCGTTACTTCTAAGAATCTTCCCTACTTCGAAGTTTTACGATTTCTAATCAATTTTTTTTAAAGTTCATAAGATAAAAGTCACGGGATAGAAAAATATATATTTATTTCAGAGCACAAGAAAAGTATAAAATGAATAATTATATATTACGTAAAAGTACTTGTTGCATTGTTGAATTCTAGTGTAACTTTTTTATCATTACATTTTTATTCATTGTAAGGATACTTATGGCTAAATATGTAAAATATCACTTACATAATAATCAAAATTCAATGGAATAAGATTAATCTGATTATTCCAGTATGTACTTAAATGCCACCATTTAAAAATAGATACAATTCGTAACTGCTGAATAAAATTATTTATATGATATTTATTATTTTGTATAAAAATATAGTGAAAAATAATACAGAAACTTCTTAATTAATATTTACATTAGCTCTTACAAAATAATCAATGCATAATAATAATAAATATTAAATGAGAAATGTGGATAGATATAATATATTCGGAAAATAAAAAGGATACAATTAAATAACATTCCTTGTGTTCTTAACAATTGTCTTACTACACAATATAATATAAATGTATGTTATTTCCAATACATATTAGGTACAGAGGAAACATAGTCATCGCCATCAATATTTAAATAGACATATAATTTATAAACATTTGTAGTTTCTGTTATATCAACATTCTGTCTTACTTCAATAACTTTTTTAAATTATCATTATTTACATTGATCTTTTTATACGTGGTATACTCCTTTACATCTTCAATATTTACAAGAAATTGCTGAACCTGTACATAATCATCATTTTTTAAAACTACATACATATGAATTGTCTGATCTATATAATAATTTTTCAGATGACTCAAATAAACACCCATCTTTAATTAGTTTTGCATAATCCCTTATTTTTCCTAATGGAAGTTGAAACTGTTCAAAAAGATTTTCATCGACAACTATTCTTCTAAAATATCTGTATGTAAATTTAATAGTCTTTACAACAAATCCATTATCTAAATATTTAACATATTCTAAAGACGGTGAATCTTTTCTTATTTCTATATGTTTTTGTAATATCCTGATATTCACTTCAAAACTCAGTTGACGACATACTGGACTTAAGACACCTTTAGCAGCGTAAATAGCTTGTTTAATTCTACCATTGCCTGATTCAAAGACATAGCCACTATGCACGTACAATGGACCCCAATCAGCAACACTCTGTGTTAAGTGTAATAATTGATGTACATTATATGTCATCGCATCATCTGAATAAAGAAGTTTAGTTTGGAATACAAATTTTTTTAAAAGACAATCTGCTCTTCGTAATTCTCTTACAGTTATTTCATTTTGCAATAATGTATAATATGCTTCTATTAATAAGGCCCAATGATTCATATATACTCTTCAAAATTTGAAATTTCTTGTGATATTAATTTCAATATCGGAATACTGTAAAAAAGGATCCAATTAGACCACTCTGCCGCTTCCCAATATGCTCGATCATCTAAAGAACGTGACAATCGTACCAACTGCGTCGGCACTTTGAAGTTTTTTAAATATTGATTAATGGTATTCAATTTTCTTTTAGGAACTGAGTAAGGTTTATTAGATGAAGTAAACCAATAGTTTCAAAATTGTTTGCCTACACCCAGATTAACACAGTGCATTGGACATGGGACAAAACCATCAATTTTTGGCTGTTGTTGGCGAGTGGAGCCACACTCGTGACGGATGGAGGAAGTGGTAGGGATCACCCGGGAGATCACGCTGAACTCGAATTTTCTTAGGCACTGAGAAATCTTTATTTTTCCTTGAAACTACGTTGTACAGCGAAATACGGCAGCTCGTCCGCGTCGGGGGCCGTAAGCGTCATAAGCAGGGCAAGCCTGCTTGGGAAGAGTGGCTGACGCTTGGCTAAGCGGACGGTGGTGTTCTTCGGCGGCGATGGTGTGTCCTGTCGTATGTTTGGCAGCGGCTGTAGGCGATGACGAAGGCGATCGTGTCGACGACGGGCAGCAGTTAGACTGATCCTGATGTTGTGCGTTGCGATGGGCGACCTTATATAGGCCGCCAGGCCGGGGTTTGATCCGCCTGAGCCACTTAGGGATGACCAGATTAACCGGATTACTTTGCTATCATCCCCCTAAGCCTTGCTTCCTAATCCGGCTAAATCCTCCTAACCGGAGGCGCCTCTCGCGCTGCTAATTTAGGCTCGCAGGTGGCGGCACCAACCGGGGCTCGACCGCCACAAACACAATGGTTTCAGCAAGATGATGCAACGACAAACTTCGCCCGTGCGGGGATCATCTACTTCCCGCACGCGTTACGTAATGTACTATTTCGCGTTGTTACGGGACCTGAAATATACGAAAAAACCGCCTTTCATTGCCCCTTTAAATTAGGATATTTAAAAAATTCTAACATGGTGAAGAAAATCTGACTTGAGATTCGAATTTTATGCAAAAAGTTACTTCGGAAATGACTCTCAGTTGGTAAACAACAATCACAACCCCTTATTTTGCAGATCTATATAATTATTGAATCTATACCTCACGATCGAAGATTATACCGTCGCATTTGGAAAACTCACTGTTCCCTTAAACATCTGCGTATCTGCATTTACTTAATTACTAAGGAAATCGCCAAGAAATTGTGTGAAAGCAATATCGAACTTACTGTATGCGCTCACTGCCTCGAAGTAAGACCATTGATCACGAAAACAAAGCGTATCATTGTATCTAACGTATGCTCGATAATACCTCATACGTTTATTCACAAGTATCAGAGCTGGCATAATTCAGCCAGGTTACACACACATTTTTAGCTTTCGCAGACAAATATACATACAACCAGAGGACGTAAAGAAGCTGCCGAAATCGTTATAGATAACGTATGATGACAAAAATTCTTAGATCTACTTTTCTACTGAAAAGCTCACTTTTATACCTGTAATGAATAAGGACATCTAGCTCACTACTGCAAAAACATCGAAGAAAATTAGTCTCAGTTAAGCCAAGCAAAGACTAAACAATAGAGTGCAATCTTAGCTCTGAAAGTACAGAACCAAATATTGAAAACAACGGATTTTTGCTGCGTGGTTTCCGAAAAAATTTCTAAGTACAAAAAATGTTCAAAATAGACCAAGCAGTACATATAAATTTTTTTCGAAACGTTTCAAAAAATTTTTACCAATAATTTACCAATAATTGACAATTTGCAAAATCAAAAAAGTCGATCGTAACTTCTAGAAAAAAATCAGATATATTCTTTGGTCAATTCTAAGACATGAAACTATAAGAATACATCTATTGCAATTTTTTTGATATAGTCGAAAAACATGTAAGTTTCATTAAAAAGAATTGTTTAAAAACCAAAAACATCGTGAAATTCCTACGAGGTACCTGGTAGGGAACCAACCCCGAAACGCTCCTAGTTTTATACAAGAGTTTTGTGCACTCTATATACTTGACTACGGTCGCTTTATATACTTTCCTACGGATGCTGCAGCTAAACAAGAACTTGAGAAAATACAGTATGCAGCTATAAAAACTGCATTATGGTATCGTATAAGCACACCCACAAACATCCTCCTAGCCGAGTGAAAATTACCCTTGTTGTGCACAATTGTATTATTGATATTAACCAGTGGTAATGCAAACATGACAATCAATTTTTTTATTAATGCGACTATTCCTTTAAAGTTTTGCTCTCGCCATCATTTTGATTTTTTAAAAAAGCGTCAGAACAGAATGTCGACGACCGAACAGTGATACACTCGAGTAGTCAAAGAAAGCTTAGCCATTGTTTGGACAGTTCACAAATTCTTTTATTATCTTTATGCTAGAAAATATTTACACTCGTCACTGACTACAAGCTATTTACACAAATTTTGTATTCTGAAGTCCTTGCCAGTTTTATGTATTAGTCGAATGGCTAACTAAGCCAATTATTTGACATGTTTCAATTTTAATTTATAATTGAAAACTATGAAAGTTAACAGAAGTGCTGATTATTGTACATGAACTTCTTGACTAACTACGATCGGTTTTGTCACGAAAATCACAGAAATTGGAACGAATAAAATTGACTTACGAATCCTCTATAAAAGCAACGATAATTGGTAGAGAAGCACGGAAAAATCATAACCTTGCCAAGATTATACAATACAGATGCGAGGCTTCAGGGTTGCCTAATTTTCGAGCGTCCTGGCATCATTCTACTCACTGCAACAATCCGTACTTAACGATTACACGCGACTCAGCTAGGTATTACAAAAATGAAAGGAATTACGAGATCTCTGTTTATTAGTCCGCTATTGATGCTGAAATCAAAAATAGAACTAAATCTGTCCTGATTGTGTTAGAACGGTCACGCTCCTCCAAAGATTCATTGGCATCGGTATTCAAAGAGACCAAGGGAACGAATTCATATAAATTTAGCTGATTCAAGTGCGCTGGTTCGACGTTATTTTTTGTCATTGTGCTTATTTAGCAAGTCAATGGAAGTTAAAATCACTAATTTAACGACTAGCTCAACAATCGTAACTATTGCTGACGATTTATTCGCTTCTTACGGTGTTCCTATGACTGTAGTCTTAGATAGCGACAAACAATTTGTCTCTGAAGAGTTTGCTCGCGATGGCGAACCTTGAGAAAAAGCGCGTTCAATCGCAAATTGGAATCGGGAAACCGCCACACGTCCCGTGAAAACTCCGCCAATTCCTTTATCACTAATATAAGAGAGGGAAGATGGGTCGACGTCTCGAGGCAGCAAATTTGGCCAGACCGCGATGCCGCGTGCGTTTAAACAAAACACGTTCATCTTGGGTGACCAAGCAGCAGTATAAGTAAAGGTTTTCTCAATCGCTTTTATTATTTAGACCGCTGGAGTGAGGCTTTTCCCTACTTACGACTAGTCCAGTAGTTGCTCTTTGTAAATTCGGATTGAAGAATCAAGTTCCGGCATGCGAATTCCTCCCTCAGTAGTCAAGATAATGTAAAACAGAATTTTTTAAATTTCTGACCGTAAGTAGTGTCAAGATTAATAGCTCCTTTTTATCTTTATCAAGCTCCACATGCTGTAGCAGAACAAACGCCAGTTCAGTTATTGCTCGATCGTAAATTACGAACACGTATCGATGTAGTTCGACCAAACTCAACGCAAACAAAAATATTTGAAAAGCAACAAAATAATTTCAAGCAAACTTTTCATGTATTTTCACCATTACAATTTTTCTCTCCGGCAGTCCTCGTCGAATGGAAAAATGAATTCCAGATATAATTATTGCTCGTTTAGGTGGTTTACATTACAAAATTGATTATTTGTGCAAAGTTTTCAAGCGTCATGTAGACCAAATAATTTCATTCCAAACTACAAGCACTTCATAAGAGAAGAAAACTGAACAAACTGAACAATATTCATAATCTGGAATAGTTCTTCATTCACTTTAATGACGAACTAGCTAGCCTAAGATTTCAACAACATATTAAACAGCTGTCTTCGCCTCCATCGTCTCCAACAGACACCAATATCGTACAACGTTCAGCTTTTATGACTAAATTTTTACATTCGTTTGAGGATCAATTATCGAATTTAAGCGGATTAGAAAATTTATGTATTCCAGTTCACATTCAATCCAATTCGCCAGATGTTTTTATTATCTCTTTATCTTAACCTTCTACCAGTGATACTCAAGTTCAAAATAATCAAACTCAACTACCTCAACGTTCAACAAAGATTAGGAAATCAAAAAAATTATTTAAGTTCTCATTTGTTATATAACCCAAATTTAGATTTCTGATATTTTTTATTTCTTTTATTTTTTAGTTTATTGTTAAAACTGACAGCTTGTACTAGAACATAATAAAATATCTTTGTTATAAATTAAGTCTAATCTCGTTATTATAAATTTAATACATACACGATATTTATTTATTTAGTCATTTATTTATTGATTCCAGAGTCCAATACAATGATTATACATATAGTTATACACACACAAACGTATCTATTTATTTATTTTTAATCCAGCAGAGAAAATAATTTTCTGTACACTAGTCTGAAGAATAATAAAAAATTGAAACTAAAACTAAACTAAAACTAATTAAAAGGTATACAGTATAAATATTTTGTGTTTACATCATCTTCTTCGCTAGATTCTGTTGAGCATTGACCTAGCTGTTATGAAATATCCTTCATGTGAAATATACTTCATAAAAATATTGATATCAACTATATCATAGACAAGTATCAAGGGATGACTACGATATGATATATAAATAAAAATAAGTGAATACAAATACTCGTATCTATGAATTTTCATGAACCTAGAGTACAGTTTCTGAAATTCTTCCCCACATGTATACATCCACAAATTCACACAGTCACATCCGTTTCAAGAAAAGTAAAATGTATTTGCGAGAATTGCCTAGCGCTAATATACCTAGAACCTAAAGGATCTTTCGAACTAAATTTTGTAGCTATAAGTAATTAAAAATTTTTATTTGAAATTTTTATTACGACTATGAAACAGCAACTTCGAACTTGGTAAGTTGATCTATTACAAATTACAAAATATTAAAAAAATTGCTGCTTCGTAGTCATAATATAAAAATGTCAAGTGACAATTTTCAATTGCTTATATTTATGAAATTAATTTCGAAACAGTTTCTATAGGTTCTAAGCATTAGCAGTAGCCTACTCGTACGTAAATTTTACTTTTTTATACTAAATATGAATGCACGTATACAAATTTATGTATATTTACCTACAAACGACTGTGCATTTGTATAAGTACACATGTGCATACGTACGTACATATATAAGCTATAGAGCGATCTCGATAATGCCAAGAGTGCCAACTGCAAAGAGTGCCAACTGCGTCAGTGATTAGTATAGTATGTCTACGTATGCGAGTTGATTACTCTGCTGCTGAAAGTAATCGAATCAATTCTTCGCGGAAACAAATAATTAATCGCCCGTAAAAATTAGTCTGGAGAAGGCTCGCTGATAAAAGATTGAGCATTAGTGAACATTTGGAGTTGCTGGTAAGAAGGAGTAAGTGCTAAGCACCATCGCAAGAAGTGCGAGGAACGATAAATATGTACAACCATGATAAAGCGTAGTGTCTATGTGATGACTGATGAACGTACAAACTGCAGCTGAGTCGCTAAAAAACCTCTGGAAGAAATTGACTTGACTTGCCCTCGACTAACATATCGTAGACTCTGCCTCGTCACTGCCAACGGACAAACGAACGTGCACACAAGTGTACGCGCCTAGCCAACTACTTGGATCCGTTTCGACTTCGTATTTGTCTACGACTCTCCGCTTTTGTAATATATCAAGCCTGTAGGATAATTCCATTGCTACGAGGAGACAACCGGGATAAAAATTGCAATCAAGAAACTACATACTCTCGACGTTGAAATAATCGATAATTCAAGGACGCTCTAACAGGCTACATTATTGACGTTATTTTTCGAAGTTCTAAGCGTATTGTAGGTTATTCGGTCGTATAATTAACATGGAAAAAGACGAGGACTTGGGGGACTTCAGCGGGAGCAGCGGTGCTAGCGGTGAACAAGCGGACAAGTCGAGCGAGGTCGTTGAGGACAAGTACGGTTGCGAACACTACAAGAGAAAATCGAAATTTGTGGTAATATGAATTGTCAACATACTTTCATTGACCTCTAAATTGTTATTTCCCATCGATTCAAAAATCAAACAATTGTATTCATAACAAAATATTTCATGAATTTTCAGTCTTAAGTACAATCTTACCTATTATTATATTCTGGTACGCTTCAAAGAAAATATTACTTCTATAACCTACTATCTCTGTTTGTCTCCTATGCATAGTGTAGCATATCAATTAATTGGCACAAATGCCTGTCGTTTAGTAATCCTATAAAACCAAGCAAACATTTCAAACAATTGTTATTTGAAAAAAACTCATAATTTTTATTTCTCTTTTAACTTTAATTTCTTATAATAAAAGTGTTCATCTAATGTTATTTTATTATTATGCAACAGTTTACTACAATAGTTTACTAATGAAACTGTTAAAGAATGACATCCAATCTTTACTTGTGCAGTTTTTACTGTTTGATTATTTATTAATATTTGAACAGAATATTACTATTTTTTAAATTAATGAACAAATTTATTGCATATACTTTGCATATTAAAAATAGATTTCAAATAAGATTCTTCAATTTCAATGAAGAACAAATTATCTATATCATTCTTTTTATCTATTATTAATGTCATGACTGGAATAAATTTAATAGAGAACATTTTTTTGCTACCTTTCCACTTTAAAAATTTGTTCTCAATGACGATGGGTCAAACATGATTTTTTAAAAACTAATGTTTTCAGCCATTATTATTGACATAAAAGAATATAAAACCATATGTATATGTTGAACTGTATTATTTTTACAATTATTATTATTGTATTGTTAAGAAGAAAGGTATAAAAATGAATGATTAATATATAAGCTATTTTGATTATTCTTTCATTCTATTCTTACAAAGATTCTCAGAGCTAAAAATTAAATTTTAACAAAAAAAATTGCCATTTAGTATATTTTTAATTTGCTTCAGTTCTATACATTATTTTTTACTGCTTTCAAATCAACATTTAATATAAAAGTATTTTGTACTATATAATTAAAAAAAAATACTATTGAGTCTTTTTTTCTAATTTCAGACCCCTTGCTGTAACAAAGTTTATACATGTCGTTTTTGTCATGATGAGCAAGAAGCTCATACAGTTAAGAGAAAAGAAGTTACAGAGTTGATTTGCGTTATATGTGAGACTCGTCAACCTGTACAGGCAACCTGCCAAAAATGCCATGTACGCTTTGGCAAATATACTTGCCTTGAATGTAATCTTTTTGATGATGAAGACAAGAACCAATATCACTGCGATGGATGTGGAATTTGTAGGCTTGGAGGCAGAGACAACTTTTTCCATTGCGCAAAATGTAATATGTGTTTGCCTATCCAATTACAAAAGGGTCACAAGGTATTTTTATTTGTATATATTTAAACTAAAATTTTTGATGCTTTTAATCTCACTTGTTCTTTTTATACTATCTTTTTTTTAGTTTTGTTATGTTTCTGTAGTTCTTACATATTTTAAAGCTCATGACAGCTGCCATTGAAAAAGATTACTTGTAATGTTAACTTATTATCTATGGAATTTTATTATTTATTAAAGTAAACATAAAATTCGCTAAAGAAAGATAATTTTCAAATTAAAATTAAAAGTCAAATTAAAAGTTTTTTTACAAACTAGATAAATACTAGATACATTACATGTTTCAGTGTGTAGAAAATGTTTCACATGCCAATTGTCCCGTGTGTTTGGAAGATATTCATACCAGCCGCATTCCCTGTCACATTCCCGACTGTGGACATCTTCTACATCGCACCTGTTTTGAGGACTTACTACATTCTGGCCACTATGCGTGCCCGACTTGTCAAGTATCTCTACTTGATATGACTGATCTCTGGAGTTTCTTAGACAGTGAGGTTTCTTTGACACCTATGCCGCCTGAATATAAAGACTATAAGGCTGAAATATTATGCAAAGATTGTCACGAGGTGAATTTCCGTCATTGTTGAACATATCAGCTGTTCTTGATAATATTGAATGAGTTACATTACTTATTATTTGGAATTAATCTTTCGTAAAGAAGATATTATGTTCTGTTCTTATTATTCTTTTACTTCGTGATGTTGGATTGCGATCGTTGAGTAAAACTCTTAATACTGTAAAGCAAATTATATTAAGGTCTCGGGTATATTTCTGTAGATTGTGAAAAAACATTACTATATTAAAAAAATATAACTATTTCATGTAATATAAAATTATTAATTAAGCCTTGCATGATATTTTAGGAAACAACCGTGAAATTCCACGTTGTCGGACTGAAATGCACAAGATGCGGTAGCTACAATACTTGTCGGATCAAGGGATCACCTTGCCTAGGTAACGAAAATTAAGTAATTGGAAGTGCCTGTAGCTGAAAAGCATTACACTGTTATTTATTTAAAGCTTAGAAGAAATTAGCAGCGTGATATAGACCAAGGCATGCTCTGTATTTAATTTTGAAAATTGAATTTGCACCAGAATAATTTGAAGATTACTTCGATAAATTCGGATCATCAGATATATGTAGTATAGAAAAATTAATAAACAAGTAAAACCTGAAAATCACACATAATTTTGTTCAGTCAAGGTTATTAAGAGATATTATAGATTTAAAAAATTTCTATTTTTCGTTGACAATAAAAAAACATTAATTAAACTGTATTATTTTACAGTTTTCTTAATTCAATAAGAAATATACTAAATTGAAGTTGATTTTTCGACGTACGTGCCCATCTTACGTTTCAAAATAATCGCCGCTTTTAAAAATTACGACATTGAAGACCCTTCCATACATATCTATAGGTATATAGATAATCGTTTTTCCAAGGTTTGATTTTGAATAATGATCATAACAAAAACAATACAAATTAATAGATTAATGCGACATATCGCTATCATGGCATGACAATATTCAAGGTCAAACCTACCAAAAATTATCCATTATTCCATATTTATAGATACATATGGAGAGCCCTTAAATGAAACGCAGATGACATACGTCTTGTATAAAAATACCTTTAAAAAATATGGTAAACAATGTCTTAAACAGTGAACCGCGTATTTCCATTGAAAGTCTTTTTATTTGCAGATCCAGAGTCTCTGGACGTGGCACCTGGTGGTAGTCGATCAGGCAATGGAGAGGAGTCTCAAGGATCCCAGTCGCAGTAGCAAAAAGTTGGAAGGCGTTGGTCAACTGTAACGGTTCATTCCTTATGCATTATTCTCAGGCGTTTCTTTCTGCACAAATAAATTGGTATATCAACTCGACATTGCAGTAGGGTATTGCGTTATTTTAAAATGTGCGTAGATACCAATATGTGTTCACCTAAAATTCATTCACTATGGATTTCGTTTCTACAAATTTTTGTTTGTCTCATTTATCAACTTCGTATAGGATCATGTTTCTCATCGCAATATAATCATAAAGATGCATCAATAATAGTAATTGGCACTGTTTCGACTTGAATTCGTTTCTTATAGTCACGAAAAAATCATCTTGACAATTCGAAATCTCTACTAAGATACTTTAGTAATGCACTAATGATTTGTGCCATTTCCGCTCTGACCGATTTTTTTTAAATTTTGTTTTATTTTTTCAAAGATATATGACGTAAGCATACCCTATACAGTTGTGACACGCAATCGCTATCCCTAGTTTCAAACTAGATCAAATTAATAAATTAGTACAATTTTCCAAGAACCTAAAATATTCTTAGAAAGCGTTTTATTATTTTAATTAATAGTCCTAGTAGAAAGAAAAATGATATTTATGAATGTCACTTAAATAAAAATCATCTATATGCTTTGTTTACCTTAAACTATTGAATTAATATTGTTTACGAAATATCTAAATTTTACAAATAAAATTTACAATACTTTTCTTGCAAAACTATTGTTAAGTCCATATTTATGTTATTCATCTATAATTAGATATTATTCAATTTTTGGAATTGAACATTTGGTTGGGCAGATTTGATAAAGTTTATACTGATTTTTTTTTGTTTTTTGCGGATTTCGAAAATGAAAAAGATTTAGTAGTTTTCTATTTATAGATGTTTGCAGTAATTCACATTACCATTATATAATCAAGCTGCGAAAAAAAAAATTTTAAATAAAATGTAGCTTTCTGCTTTTGAACCTGATATGATAATGTGATTAATAATTGAAGTATAATAATCTCTTATAACTTTGACAAAAATAAAACAAATCTAATCAGCTGTTTAGTGACTAATGCATTTCATACTAGCCGAGTATATTTTTTATGACGTATATAACAATATTTAATTAGTATAAATATTATATAATAACGCAATAGTTAGGATAAAGTATATTGCATAATAGAAGCATAAGTTGAATTTTAGTAAATTACCTGATTAGTACGGAAAAATAGATTCCTCACTTCACTCGCGTGTAAACGCAAGACGAGAATCTCTTTCCTGAACATGTTAAGTATAGTATTTTTCAAACAACGTGTGAAAAGCGCGAAATTGATCGCACGCTTTTCGCCGAACGTGCGGCAAAGTCGTACTTTTCGTACAGCGTGTCGAAAAAAACAATATTATCATTGATATAAATTTATTAAGAATTTTTAATAAACTATAAGTTCCCAGTTATTTCCATAAATAGTAACTTTAAAAAAAGTTATAAAAGATTTTATTTCTATTGATGAATTCCTAATGTATACATCGATTAGAAAAATGCTTTTTAAATCAAAATGAATGAATTGATCGTACTTTTTATTTTCAATTGATATTTGTAAGATACGACAAATGGCATTTTATTGTTGTCTTTATAGTTTTTAATGAATCATTTTTACAAGTACTCTATGTAGAAAACTCAAATTGGTTCGATGGTTGCTTTTTAAAACAATGCATTTAAGTACAAAGCATCCAATATTTATCAAACCAAAGGACAAGTCAACATCATGAAACGTACTGATAACAAAGTTTTTCTGTAATGATTAATATATATATACATATATAAATAAAATAGTATCAATGAGCTTGATTTTAGTATTTAAGCACATAAACTGTTTTTGAGATGATATAACTTGCTAGTGAGATTAGGAAGTCTTATACTCATGATATTATTGACAATAGGCATAATACTTGCGGTGTACGAATTCTATAATATTGAATCATGAAAACGTTAAAAAATTGTATTGAATAATGAGCAATGTATGTACATGTATTTGAAGAGTGTTTTTTTTATGCGTGAATTTTTGTTCAGGCACATTCCACATATAGTTTAGTAAAAATATTGTTTTCTTTTCTTTCCATTTGTATTGACTTTTGACGGTTAAACATTTATACATTATTAATATACACCAAAATTGAACAAATTCAAAATGTACGTTTTGCGTGATCAACGCTACTTTATTGTTTGGTTGTAAATTAAATTATCCATACAAAGGCTCTTTGTACATAACGGCCGCAATAATGTTTCATATTATATTATAATATAATATTCTATCAAATAAACCGGCTATAATTTTTTTTCATTTACTCATTTTCTTCGCTAGACGAAAATTAGAAAACCGACACAAGTAGTGCATCATACATGTATAATATAAAGTTTTTTTCCCTACGATAGACACTTTAAAAAAGAAAATTGTCCGCAGCGGGCAAACGGGAATAAGACAAGCATGAGTCGGTGAAACTTTACAGAAGAAAATTGATATAAAACTGAGAGAGCACAGTATCGCAGGCGCAAGTTACGCGACGCAACTCTAAAAACTAATGATTGATGAGATTCATCGACCATTGTATTACTGAAATAAACGCATAGCGGAGCCACTTTTCGCTAATATTTTATTGGGCTTTCTCGTGTTTCGCGCGTGTAAAAATATCTTTCAAAATAAAAAAAAAACAAAAACGAAAATTCTTTTGCACTGACAATCACAAGAATAAACTCGTGCTCAATTAGTCCATAAATATCAGTCGGGTCGTCGCCTCTTGGACGATGTCTCACTGCTGTTCGACTTTGACTAAGGAGTCGGGTCAGAAGTTGAGGGAGCGCGGTCGAAGCGGCGTGAATCCATTGATCGTGAGAAACTGCCGAGCCGCTTGCGTCATTTCAACTTGGTCTCGAGTTCGACCACAAGCCACCGCCGTCCACTGCATTTCCAACTTAGTCTGAAAAGTGAGCGAATGATGTAGAATAAAGACGAACGCTGCCTAATAAATGTTTGCTGTATGGAAAACGTGAAACGTGAAAAACACCTATCGCGCGTCGCATCACCAATGATTTGATACACAAACATACCAGGACATTAACGATAAAGAGATGTGAGGAATCGTAAGAGTGCGTGAGCAAGCGCTGCCGAGCGGATGAGCAAGAGAGCAAGATGTCAATCAAGTGCGCAAGATGTTAGGCTGAACACTCACCTTTGTACGTTTGGACGGCGCCAGACTGTAGTCGTTTGGGCTGTCGAACGTATCAAATGATATAGCTCTCTTGGCGTTGGGCTTCCGCTGTACGGGCGCAAAGTCGTGGGGAGTCTGGAAAGGAATAGACACACTAGCTACAGCCGGCAGTTATAGTAGAAATATCAGTGGAAAACAGCCCGGAAAGGGGAGAGCGATCTCCACGTGTTATCCTATATCGGCTCGTCACGTTTCGTCTTGTCTCCTTTCGTTCCGTCAATTCATTGACCGATTAATTAGGCGACACACTACGCGAACATCAATAAATATAGGTAGTACGGTTACGGGAGGAGGGGTGTGGGCGATAGAAAAGACGCGACGATGCGCGCGCGATTAATCTGTTTTTTCTCCTTCTCTTTCTCCCATTCGCATAAACTCGACTCTCGAACACTTGGGATCTCGTGAGAAACCGGATAGTGACTAGGTCTCCGTATATATTTGGTACGTATATTATACGCGCGCCTCAACCGAGCCGTCGCTCGATCGACGAATCTTTGGATTTTTCTTTTCGCTCGTTGCTGCTTGCGCTTAACAAAGGTTACAACTTTTGGCGAGGGACGAGTCTTAGAAGGATCTGAACATTTACAGGGATTCGAGAGAGGATTTCACGGGATATAGGTACTTTGGTACGCTAGGCCAGGCCTCTTGTTCACTAGGGACAGAATCGCAATTTATGGAATTAGTGCACTTCATGCCTTCTGTCAACTTATACAAAATACGAATCCAAATATTAAATGGATAATATCAAATAAAATCAAATAATATATACTATACAATAACTTAGCCATGGAAAATAATAACTTTGCAAATGCAATCTATTTCGCGTACTTAGGCTCTCCGAGTACTTTTTAGATAGAAATTCCTTTTTGCTTTACTTTTACTCGTTTATTTCTTTTTTCTTTTTTCCTTTTTTTTTACTTTACAAAAGAACCATTACTTAGCAAAGCTTTTCACGATATTAAAATAGTTTTTCTCTAAAACAATACACATGATTCATAAATAAACAAAATAACAACAAAACCGGTTAGTCCAAAGCTCCTAGTCCATTTACGATAAAAGAAGCTTGAACTACAAGATTTTTTTACAACTTTTGAGAACATAAAAAGCGAAATTAAAGCCAATAAACTGTAACACAAAATTACAACTTATATTTAAGAATAAATTAAGTACTTATAAGACGGCGTCTTGGACCCGGCTACTAATTAAGCGTCATAGTCCTCTAAATGATTACCAAAACTCATCTTTCTTTTCAACTAATATATAGTTACTAAATACAGACAGCAATATTCAATGCATTAAACATCATTTATTTTCATCTTTTGTTCTTAAATAAGAAATAGCAAAAACTATAAGTGCAAATGAAACCTTTCAAATCGTCACTACACCTAATGAGACTATGTTATCGTATCTTTCATTACACGGTAACCATTGTTCTTTGAGGTGTGTTAATTGGAATGTTAGATTTCTGCAGGACAGGATAGCTTATTGTTTTAGGAGTACGTACAAGGTTATAATTATTTTTACAGCATAATTAAGTAAGGCATGGAAGCCCGAGCTAGGCATCACTGGGCGAACGTCAATACGAATATAGACAACATCAATAAAAAACGAAAAAAATATGCACGAATCACAAGAGAAAAACATCGATAAAAACGTATTAAAAACGTATTAGTAGAGCAATAGAACTAGAAAGAAAAAAGAGAAAATTAGAGACAGCAGATGGAAAGAGACGATGGTAAAGATAGCGTAAGAGGAAAAAAAGAGTAAGGCCGGCTAGCGTGTCTAAAGGCGGTTGGTGCGGGAATAGTACCAGGATAGGGCTGGTTGATGTGGTTGTTGATTCTGAGAATCACATTGACTTTGAACACGCGTTTCTACCTTAACGGGGCTTGGCCCATTTGCCAAAAAACTGTCGTCTAAGGCCATGGAGGCTGGCGAAAACAATACTGAGGTATCCAGACTTTTGCTCTGAAACATAAAAGAAGCTCGGATAAGTGAAGTAGCTTCATCGAAAAAACAGTTCCGAACAGAGCTGATACCGAGTTAGGCGTAGACTCACCGGCGTTTCAACGGCGAAGCTCATTTCAGAGCCGGTGTCGTGAGAAGTCCCAGACCAGGCTTGACACAAAGCTTTTCGCGCTCTCTTGCCGCCGGGTGCACTGTTCTCTTTGCCACGACGTCTGCCGGTGCCGTAGCCCGAGTCGCCAAGCATGCTGCCACTACTTGTACCGGCAAGGCTCTCACGATCGGTCTCCTGCTTGATGATTTCTGTGAGGGCATCCAATCGACTAGGAGTTGCCGGCAATTGTGTGGTTGCGCCACTCCGTCGCTCCAATTCAGCCAGCGCATTCTTGAAAGGAGTGGGCGTTCTCGGCGTCGTACCTTCTGCAAAGTCGATATCTACTTGGATCAATAGTTCTCAAGCCTGAAGCTCCGGTGAATTTCCAAAGATGATTATGATGGTAAAAATCATACCCCGACGTAATGTAGACGGTTGCGGCGTCGTGAGCGGGCCAGGACTCCCTCTAGGCGTGCTCGCCCTAGGCCAAGCAGAATCGGAGCTAAGACTGTTGAGGAATTGGGATGGGCTGAAGGGTAGCTGTTTGATGGGAGTAGAAGGCGCGGTGCCGATCTGCGAGGATGAGGACTGTTGATACGAGTGTAGTAGATAGTCTGATTGATTGCCACTGTCGGGAGTGTCGGTTCTTTGATGGTGATGGTGATGGTGGTGGTGGTGATGGTGCTGCTGCTGCTGCTGCTGCTGTTGTTGTTGCTGCTGCTGTTGCTGCTGTTGCTCCAGCTGCAGGTTTCGCCGCCTGCGTAGGATCGGCGGGGGACTAGTTTTTTCTCTTTCATGCAAGTCCGATTCCTCTTCGAGGTCGGGCATGGGTAGTAGTTGTACTTCGGACGACCTTGAACCATGCGGTTCGCTCATTTCCAAACCAAAGAACCTGCTTAAAGAAAAGCGTGGATGTTTAAAGCGAATACTCTTAGTTGGCGTGACAAGCCAGTGACAAACAAGTACGTACTTGGAGAACGGCGAGACGGACTCGACGCGGTTTCGTCTTGGGGGCGAATCGAGTGGATCACTGACGACTTGTCGCTCTTCCACGTGTAGATTGCGATGCTGTTGTTGTTGTTGTTGTTGTTGTTGTTGTTGTTGCTGCTGCTGCTGTTCGGCACAGTGCTGCTGTTGCTGCTGCTGTTCCCACGCACGCGCCCAGTCGAGTTGATCGAGATCGCTGGCGAAGGTTAAGGCCGAAACAGCAGGACTGTCTTGGCTGTTGAGCGACGTCGTCGAGGTGATCTGCTGGTGCTGGTTGCGTTGCTGCTTGCGTTCGCTAGCCTTCGACGAACTGGTCTCCACTGCTTTTCTCCTGCCTCGACCTGCGACGAGGAACACTGATCGAGTAAGACTATCACATTCGTAGGCGACCGGCCGAAGGAATGAGAAAGAGGGTACCTCTTGTGCTGGTCGTCCTGCCCTCCTCGGCCTCGTACTTGCGCCTCATGGTGCTGTTCCAGTGGTTCTTGATGGCGTTGTCCGTCCTGCCGGGCAAAAGCTTGGCGATCTTGGCCCATTGGTTACCGACCCGTCGGTGTGCCTCCACGATGATCTGGTCCTCGGCCTCCGTCCAGGCAGTCTTCTTGATGCCGGGGTTGAGGTGATTGTGCCAGCGCTCCCGGCATTGCTTGCCTATCCTGCCCTTGAGGTGTCGCGCTATGAGCGTCCACTTCTTCGGGCCGTACCGCTGCACCAGCTCCACCACCTTTTCGTCCTCCTGCAAACGAGCGCGCATTCTTGGTTCATCTTTCTTTTGGTCGATGATCGGCGAGCGCCAATTACTGGTCACGGCGTCAAAGCAGGAAAAAAAGTATCAAGGCTTCTCTCAAAAGAGAAGAGGCTATCGGCGGGCCGTATACCTGCGGTGAGCACGCGAGCCCGCATATTTCAACGCCTTTCGTGGAGAAAGTTGATGTAAAACGAGTCTCAATAGCTCGCGAAAACCAAGAAGTACGGGCTACAGTTGGTAAACCTTTCTGGGAAGTGGCCGACCGACCGACCGACTGCCGAGACCTCCGACTTTACCAACGTCTTCCGATCTTTTATGCTTCTCTTGTGAAATGTTCGGACCTCGATGCCTACATCTCGAAGGCTCCGAGGCCATGATATTTGGCGTTGCGTAATCATGGAAATTGGCGGTCAATCAGTGAGACCATGTAATAAACGCCTCATTGTAAAGGCCAGCACGTGGCGTGAATCTTTACGCTAAATCAGCTCTTACTCTGCTCGCTGATAATTAATTTTATGACGTGGCCAATCGACGAATCTCGCCTGCTAAGAATACATTATAAAACCCATGGAACGTCCTCGGCTTGTCGCGCCCATTAAGATTCAAGCGCAGTATCGCTCACGTCGCTTTTGCCTTCTCGTTTTCTTTTGAAAGTAACAAAGAAACGCGCTGCTGCTGCTGCTGCTGCTACTCAGCACGAGCTGCGGGGCTGCAGTGAATTATTCAATGGCAAACAAATGCGAGAACCATCGTGCGCGACGTGCACCGCGTGCATCGAAGAACGGCGAGTTGGACGTAAGACTGGCGGCCGGCCGACGGTTGTGCGCATGGGCCAGATGCGACGCGAAGGAATTTTGGCGGGAAAAGCGCTCTCGACGCGCTCTGGTCTAGCGCGTGGCTGGCCCTTCGCGCAGCAGTCTCGGGAAGCCGGCGCGGGAAAGCGACCGTACCGGCTCGGGCGTAGACGCAGCAGCCCCGAGCCCCCGACGATCTTGGGGCAGAGAGGTTGTTCAACTCGCCGCTTCGTTCGCCGCGGATCGATTTCCCGACGCTCGCGCGCTGTCGCCTCGATCCGTCGCTGCTTTGTTTACGGCCAGCAGCTTTATTTACCCGCTTGACATTTGCGCGCGAACGCTCGGCGAATCTCCAAGCAACGTGGACTTTGGATCGCAGATAGTCGGGCTACCGTGCCGAAGCAGAGAGCAAACGAGCGTTACCTCTTTGGTCCATGGGCCCTTGACGAGCTCGGGGTTGACGACCTTAGCCCATCTCTGTTGACACTGGACGTCGCTGCGGTCGCGGAAGTGGGACGCGATGCCGTCCCATCGCAGACCGTTCCCCGACGTCTCCGCGCTGCTCACCAGCTGCTTCAGCAGAGCGTCCTGTTAACATTCCCGAAGAACGCCTCGTCAGCGAACAACTGGTCAAACACGCGTATCCAAGCCCGGCGACTGGTCGCGTGCCTCGGTGGACTGCGACGGGCGCCCGGGCAGTCCATCGGGCAGTTCCCAGAGGGCGACCACTTCCGGGCTGGACTGGTCGCGTGCAAGGGAAGGGAAGAACAGACGCTGCCGAGGGATGACCGGGAGGTGCCAGCAAGTGCGCGATGCGCGATTCCAGACGCACAAAGGCCAATTTTCAGGGCGCTTCGTGGCACTTATGGGCGCGCCGGAGGCAAAGGTCGCCGCGCCAATGGAGAGCAGAGTCCGAGGGAGCGAGAGAGACACGTGTGTGATCGTCCTTGGCGCGCATTTCCCATGGGAAACCGTACAGCTAGCCTTTCGCCTACCTGCAAGCCACTCGTTGGCGCACATCCTTCCTTCCTCCCTTCCTTCCACCCTTCCTTCCTTCCTCGACCCACGTTATTCGCGCCCTCGTTCTCTCTCGCTCTCCCGGCCGCTTACCTGCACTCGATCCGCTCGGCGATCCATTACTCACCTCTTCCTTGGTCCATCGACCTTTATTGATATGTTTCCCTTGGCCTGAGTTGTTGGCAGCGCCGCTGCTGGGGTTGGTCGACTGCGAGGACGAGGCCGCTTGATTGCAGAGCCCGGACGAGCTGTACTCGACCTCGCTGTCGTCCCCGCTGCTCGAGTCGTAGCCCGACCTCGATCTGCAATCAAATGAGCGCCGCGTCATTCAGCGCCGAGCAGCAGTTGGACGCGAGCCCGCCGGAGCGTGAATCCGAGCGGGCGCCGGCGGCCGGACGGGGGGAGGCCCGAAAAATGAAAAATCGGCGGGCATTATCCCCTTCCTGCCGATTCGAAGGAGGCCGGCCGAGGCGAGCTTCGCTCGCTCCTGCCAGAAACCACAACCGACGCAACCGCGCAGCCGCCCTCCGTCGCTTCTGGGGGCTCTAATGAATTTCCGCCGGCTCCCGCTTTGGCCTTCGCCGAGAGGCTCGGTCTCTCCTGCGCCGCGAAGCAAGACGCGCGGCGCTGCGCGATAAGGGAGAGAAAACCGTTGACTCTCCGCGAGCGCAGCCGAGCGCGATAGCTTCCTGCCCTTTAAATCGTCGCTCGGTCGCTGGGCAGGGCGTTATCTGGCGGCGGCCAGCGCGCAAACAGCGACGCCAGGCAGATGCGGCGCCCGGCCGGCACAAAGACTCGACTATGCCGATCGGCCGCGGGCCGCGTTAAAAACGAAAAAAAAGACAAGCGAGCGAGCACAAAGGGCGCCCGAGTCGCCGAGCCGCGCGTAGTGGGAGTCGAGCAGGCGGCAGAGGGCTCAAATGATAAGGGCGTTCGCCATCTGGGAGCGTGCATATGCCACCGGCGCTGCTGTTGGACATTGTTCGGCGAGCCGCCCCCAAAAGCATGACTCGCTCTCGGCTTGAAATTCCCCTGCGTGCGTGCCAGCGCCAGCGTCGCGTCGGTGTGCAGCTGCTCCCGCTCTCTCTCTCTCTCTCTCTCTCTCTTGCCCCATACGCGCGCGCAATTGCGCACGCCGTTGTGCATCGGCAGCTTCTGCAGAGCCAGCGCGGCCACGGTCGGCCCTCGACGGCTTTCGGTTTGTCCTATGAGAGTCGTATCGGCGCGCCGATTTAAAGGAGGCGCAGCGAGCAGCTCTCGACCATGCAAATACATGCAAATCAGCTACGCGTGCTTCGACGCTGTGCGTTCGCGCTGCCGCTGATCGCGCGTATCGGAGCTGAGCGGCACCGATTTCAAGACGACGACTCGAGTAAACTCGACATTCCGGTATCCGCGCGTAGCCACGCTGCCGGCTCCCATTACAGTCCTGCCGAGGCATTGTCGATCGGCGCTGCGTCCCTTCGGAGTCGCTCGAAAAGTCGCGCGCTCTCTCTCTCTCTCTCTCTCTCTCTCTCTCTCTCTCTCTCTCTCTCTCTCTCTCTCTCTCCCTCGGCTGCGCGAGCGTACTCAAGTGCAAGTGCGCGCCCGGCCAAAGAGTTGCGACACAATAGGTCAGAGAGGCAGAGAGAAAGACCGGCTCTCGCTGTCTCGGCTATATACACTCGATGCACAAAGTACAGCCGAGACAAAACATTCGGATAAGGCAGGAGACGCGCGCGCGCGAGCAGAAATCCGCCGAGTGTGAGAAGAGAAGCAGGCGATCGTCGAGAGTGCGTCGCGAGCGCATTCCTCGAGATAAGCGCTGGGCGTGAAGCGAGCAGAGCAGAGAGGATCGTCGCTCTGGAAGAGGCGAGGAGCGATCGATCGAGCGGCTGCGCGCTGCCTCCTGAAACAAGCCAACGTCAACAGTGGGGGCCAGGAGAGAACGCAGCGCGCAGGCAATTAGAGCCGGGAGCACGCAGCGCTGCTGCGCGCCGCGAGGGTCGGACGTGACGCGCGGTCTGCGGGGGGAGCGCGACGTATAATAGTCGAGCAGGCGATGGATGCAGATGGCCGTGCCGCGCCGTTTCCGAGCGCTCGATCGCGTCTCGACGCGTTCGCTCTCGTCGGCGTGATCCGCGGCAATCGGCGACGAAGCTGCGAGCGCGAGAGGCGCGCAACAGGTTGGACGCCACTCGACGAAAGGTGGATAACGCGTCGACCCGCGCCGCTCGTTGCGCGCGCATTACCAACGAACGGCCAACAAATCCAGCGAAAACTGCGTAGCATTAGCATCGGAGACCTGCGCTTCTCGTCAAACTCACTCTCTCGGCTCGGCTCGGCTCGGCTCGGCTCGGCTCGGCTCGGCGCGGCGCGGCGCGGCGCCCGTTGTTTGCCAGCCGCGTGCCGACAGGATTCGCAGCGACCGTTAGAGATTCTCGCGCGCGCGAGCCCTCGTCGCAACCTACTCGTCCTCGACGTCCACCGAGCCGAGACAACGCCTGGACGGCGCGTAGGCGGCGCGAGCATCGCAGAGCCCCGAACAGATCGGTGTCGACGGAAACGGTCCGACGTTCTCGTGATTCTCGTGATTCTCGTGATTCTCGTCACGCGCGGGCGAAACGCGTTCCCGCGAATCGGCCGTCAAAGCCGACTGGCCGTCCGTCCTACCCATGTAAATCGCCCATGTAAATTGCCCATGTAAATTGCAGACGCGACGACGCGGACGGCAAGCGAACGACGAGCGGCCAAGGACGCGCCAAGGCGGCAGAAGGCGGAGGAAGGCGACCCGGGCGCTCGGCGGCGCGCAGTTGGCGGCGGAACGGAAGTGGAAAGCCCCGGCGGCAGGGAAAACCGGAAAACCAGATGTGCGAAGAGGGGCGGCAGGTGCCGCTCCGGGACAGCTGTGCCTCCTCGCCGGCTCCTCGGCAATAAAGCCGACGCGAGAGTGCGCCGTGTTATTACATTGGACGCGCACACGAGCTGCCCCTCTTTACGCGCGTGTCCCGTCGTAGGTGTCTCGTAATAACTCGTAACAACTCTGCTCCAGCGCGCCGCGAGCGCAGCTGTGCGCATCTAGGAATGGCTGCGCGGCGCGTGCCCATCTTCGGCATCTTGCTTCTTCTCCTTCTTCTTCTTCTTCTTCTTCTTCTTGCTCTGCCCTTTAAACGGCCGCGCAGCCGCCGCCGCCGCCGCCGCTTTCCCGCCACTTCCTCTCGCTTCCGTTCGGCTCGGCAAGATTCCCTTCTCGCGCGTGACCTTTCGGCACGCCAATGCCAATATTTGACAGCGCGAGTCCGCCGCGGGTCACGGCGACCTGCGCGCGCGATCGCACCCGTGTGTGGACATTCAGTCAACGACCTACTGCGCATCCGCAGTCCTCGCCTAACGGATTCCGGCCGATTTCGTGCTTCTTTTTTTCGTTCGGTTCGATTTATAGGGGCACCGATGCCAAAACCGTATTCCCACAAGCAGTCACGTTTCACGTGCTTTCGCTCCGATCGACGTACGTTTTTTTTCCTTTTCCATTTCTTGTTTTTTTCTTCTTTTTCTTTTTTTTTTTTTTTTTTTTCACGTGCGCGCACGCCTGAGCGAAGACGCATGTGGGTTATTACGTATACCTAATTCTAATTTTATGCCTTTGAACGGCACTGAACGCGTCCATGGGAAATCCTATTCAAATAGTTGTTTTGAAGTTTACGTCTTCCGATACTGGCGCAGCTGATGCCAGCATTGGCCTTGGTATAAGCTTCCGAGTCATTACCGCAGGAGCACGGCATTCTTTCCGTCGCTTCTAAAAATAGAAGCCTGGGCTTTCCTCGCTCGAGGTGGTCGCAGCAGCCTACAAGCGGCTCGTTGAAATCTCTCGGGACTGCAGATCCTCGCGCTCGCGTTGTTTCTTCCGGTGGTCGCGCCCGTCGCGCCCGTCGCGCCCGAACCGCCAGGAGCAGAACGATCGACCGTTGAGACGAGGCGGTGGGGGCAGGCAGCCCGCTATCGGCGCTGGCGATCTCGCGTGTGGAAACAATAAAGCGGGCGACACGGCGCTGAGGGAGCGCGAAGGGGCAGCCCGGCCGGGGCAGGTGCCGATGCCAATGCGCGGACCGAGCCGGAAGCGTTGGTGCGCGATAATTGCGCTGGACTCGGCATTCCTCGAGGTGTGCGCTGAATGTTAATTTTTCGTTGCGCTAGGCTTGACCGGCCCGCGCAACGGGCAGCCCGCTTGGGAATGCCAATGGCGTCGGACGAGTGTGTAATGACTTTGTTTTACGCCTTGTGAAACAGGTGCTCCGCTCTCGCTCTCTCTCTCTCTCTCTCTCTCCCCGTTGCGACGCTCGGATAGCCGACAGCGCGTAGCGAAGAGCCTCCCGAGCGGGAAACACAATACGCTCAGGATGTTCTCGGCTTTCTCGTGCAGGTAGGTATAAGTTGGCCGAAGGGCAGGCCCACCCTTTACTCGGCGCGGCGGCAGCAGCAGCAGCAGCAGCAGCAGCAGCAGCAGCAGCAGCAGCAGCAGCAGCAGCGAGCTATTGTCGGCCAGCGACACGGAGGGGGCTGCGCGCAAATCAATTTTTTTCCCGCTCCTCGCTACGTCGCCCAGCCAAATCCTAATAATGCGCGCGGCTCTCTCTTCTCATGCCCGCAGCCCGTGCGCTAATCCTCCTCTCCTTTCTGCTCGGCAAATCTGTACTCTCTGTCGACGCGCGCCCGTGGCGACCACGTCCCGAGTCGCCAAGTCGATCGCGACAGCCGCGCGTTTTACAATGGACGCGCACGTGCGCGCCAAGTGCCACTGACGCTGCGGCCGCGCGCATCGGCTCGAGAGCTCGATCGCGCGCTGCTTGCCCGTTGGCGACACATCAAGATAGAGACGGGGAGAGAGCAGCGCCTCGCTGCCGGCAAAAAGCTCTCCTCGACTACTATTAGAGAGAGAGAGAGAGAGAGAGAGAGAGAGAGAGAGAGAAAATGAGGCAGCGGCAGGGTGGAAAAAGCAGAGACATCTGGTCACCACCTGCCTCGACGTATCGCCGCCCCTCTCAGCTTGCCGTCGCCGCCGCCGCCGCCGCTTCCCCCAACTTAAAGCTCCCAAGCTTCGCATACCTATACGCACTCTCTCCTTTCTCTCTCCTTTTTTTTTCCGCTCTCTCGCATTATACTCCTCCTTTGTTTGCTCGCCTTCTCTCCGCGTCTATGAGCGCACCTCGATTGTACTTGACCACTAGAACGCCGGTGTAATTGCATTACAAGTGACGCCCGACGACGCAATGGCAGGCAGTTCGCGAGCTTTAAACGTTCGTCGCAGGTTCTGCGACCAACGAGAGCGTTAGCATTGGCCGAAGTTGCGCCGCGTAGCGGAGCTGTTGCCAGTGGGCAGCAGCGCACGGAGGCGCGCAAAGAGGTGGCAGGCAGCGCGACCGAGTACCCACGGTGTTGCGCGTATGGGATAAAGGGCGGCGAGCGAGCGCGGAGCCCCTCCTGTTCATCCCCGGCATTCCAGTTTTGCCGCGCAAAAGGCGAGTGGTGGCGCGACCCTACAGGGCCACGTTCCCATGACAAGTGCACTGTCTCTCTCTCTCTCTCTCTTCGTGGGAATCGCGCTCTTTCGACTTGTTCCCTTTTCTCTTTTTTCTTCGTTTCGCGACGCCAGTTTTCCGAGCGGCCCGAGCGCCCGATTTTCCCATTGGCCGTGCGGCGCGCGTCCGCGAGCGCGTCGCTGATTTATGCGCGCCGCGAGACCTTCCTTCGGCCGGTGGCCCGCCGAACTCGCCGGACAATAGCTCGCCGAGCACTTCTGCCGGCTGAACGAGGAGGCAGATGTCCTCGTCGCGGGTCGGCAACCCCACGGCCGTGGCCGTGGCCCTCGCGATTATTGGGCATGTACGCGCTGGCAAAACGAGCGGAGGGCACGAGGCAGCCACACGGCGACCGAGCGAAGGAGAGGAACGAGCAGAGAGCGGCGTGGACTGCGATCTCGGCAACCCTTGTTTCCTACGGACGCCAGTCTGTGCCCAATTTACGATTCGGCTATATCTTTCCCCACGGAACCCCCATTGTCGCGCGCGCTCTCTCTCTCTCTCCCTCTCTCTCTTTCTAGCAGCTGCGCTATCAGCTCGAGCAGCTCCCTGCTTATACTTTTTTTCGGCAACTGCGAACGAGTCCCGACGCGCCGCCGATTTGTCGGCCTTCGGCGTTCGAGCCGATGCGACACCATTGTGCGTCCTGCGTGCTCCTTCTTCTCTTTGACTTTTCTCCTTGACGAAGTTCACCTCGCCAGAGAGACGAATATCGATCGTCCCAGCGCCCTTGCCGATGGCTCGTCGCGGGGGAGTGCGCGAAACGCAGACCCCTTATGCAAACAGCAGCACGACTGGCCGCAGATCCGCTCGTCCTCCGAATCATCGATATGTCGTGGCCCGCGCTCGGCGGCCCCTAATTACGGACTCGTTTACGGCCGCTCTCGCCGACACGAAGCGGCGCGCCGCTCGCGTCTCGCGATTCGGCCTCGAGGACGGTTGCCACGCGCTGGTGCTCCGCGCCGACCGCGAGCCTCATCGTAATTCGCCGACAAAAGTGCGCGGGTCGCGCCAAAAAGTCGTGCGAGCCGAGCCGCCTCGGGGCCCACAAAGCGCGCCGAGATTTTCGAGAGGAAACGGGGAAGCGCGCGAGGCGCCGCCAAGCCACGCGGAAAAGCGTGAGCCCCGCGGTGTGCCGACAGGCCATTGTGCCCCCGCAAGAGGCGTAAATTCCAGCGCGCGCGGAACGGAGATTGCGCTGCGGTCGCTCGAGAGGCCGGGCCCACGGCAAATCCGCAAAGCTCTCGCGCGGAGAGAGACGTCCAACGGCGTCGCGTTCTCGGAGATTGCGACGTTGAGCACCGCTGGCCTGGCGTGCCAGCAGCATTGTTGCGCGCGCTCGAGCTATATCGCCACATCCGCGACCAAATGACCATCGGTCGAGAGAGAGAGAGAGAGCGAGAGAGACAGAGAGAGAGAGAGCACCGAAAATCCACTGATCACAGTCAACTTGTGCATCGAGGAAGAGAGGGAGGGAGCGAGCGAGCGAACGAGCGAGCGAGAGAGAGAGAGAGAGAGAGAGAGAGAGAGGAGAGAGAGAGCGGAGGCTCTCGGGCGCCGGCCAGTTGACCCACATCTCGGCTTACATGGGAGGAACGGAGTAAGAGTAACAACGACAAAAAGCGCGCGCTTAGCAACAGGCAGCGCGGCACGAGATCGGCGCGCACGAGTTTGCAGACAGAAAATGCCGCAGAGCCAAAGAGAATCCAGATAAGAGCGTATATCCTTTGATATTGATATCGAGTCTCACTTCCGTTGCTCTCTCGCTCGCTCTTACCTTCCGCATTGCGTATCTCCCTCTCGCTACATCCGAATCTAATGAAGCGCGATTCGGCGACCGATTGGACGCTATTGTCCGTACGCTAAAAATACATTTCAATTTGTAAAGCCAACGGTAAATAGGCACGCGGCGAAAAATAGCCAAAGGCAATTCCGAGATGTACTATTTTTAATGTCCCGTAGACGATCGCAATCTCATGCAAATTGGGGCTCACTCGCGGCGCGATTGTGCAACTGTCACGCTTGAGCCCGCAGTTACACAACGGCGTACACCTACACGCGCGAGCACGCTTCCAATCAACACGAGTGGCTGGATCGGCGCAACTCGTAGCTCCTCGCTGGGCTTCCTATACGTAAACAACTTTGCCGCTTGCAGTGCCCAACGAAGCGTGCCCGTGCAACGGTGCCACGGTGCAACGTCCAAACCCATGTGCGCAACCTTTCCAGCGGCCTTGCTGCTTCCTTGCTTCCAGTCAGCGGCAAGGAACACGTGCGCGCAGAACAATGGCAATCGACGATCGCACGCGGACCGCAAAGCGAGAGACTGCCGTGCATCGCCGGCCCAACGGCACGTGATCGCATCTACGTAACGGGTAAGCAGCAGTTTCACTTTTATTGGAAACGCATAGCTGCCCGCGCGCCGCTAGCAAAACAAACAAGCGCGACGACGGCGGCTCTTTAAAAATAGTCAACCGTCCAGTACAACTCGGTCGCTTCCTCCGACTCCCCACGCCCGATCAAAACGAAACAAGAACGCGTCGCTGCTCGCGAATCGACAGACCACGCGATAAATAGGCAATCAAAGCAAACTTACGCTTCGGTCGGTGGTGGCGAGTAGAAGGTGGAGTGGTATCCGGTAAGGTCAAGGCTCTTGCCAGAGACGAGCAGCTGGTTTGCCATCGACTCCATTATCCTGGCCGGCTGATCGACTGCTGCTGCTGCTGCTGCTGCTGCTGATGCTGCTGCTCGGCGAAACTCTGCTCGTGTCGCAATGGCGCGTACGGGGGTGAAAGGGATTTCGCGACTACACGATATCCATGTCGGCGGCGAACCCTCACGGGCTAGCTCGCGGTATCCGAATCTTCGGGGTTAGTCTCGGCACGACGAAGCGGCTGCCATCTTCTCGCGGCCCCGATGCAGCGCCGGCAATACTGCTGCCGCTGCTATTGATTCTCTGGGCTCGCGGAGACTGCGAGGAGAGAAAGAGCGCGAGCGGCGCCGCGACCTTTGCCGCGCATGCGCCAGTCTTCTTTCGCACTGTTGTCTTCGCGCACACTGTGTATGAAAGCCTAGGTATCCTGGCGACGTTGCAATTGTTATTCCTGGAATCCTTGCTACGGCACTGTTGTACTTCTACGAAGATGCACTATGTACGTACTGTATGATAGGTTGCGCGGGCGAAGCAGTGGACGTGATTATATGGGCAGCGCGATTATGTGAACGAGAGTCGAGCGTGCACGAATTAGGAAAAAGAGAAGGGAAAGTTCGGTTGCACGTGTGAGTGTGGCGGGCGCGCGCCCCGCTCACTTCGAGGATCGCTAGTGGACTGGTGCGCGAGGCGCGAAAGCAGAGCTACTCCGCCGAAAGGTTCAGGGGTATGCCGAGCCGCCGCCGCAGTCGACGCCGTGGTACCAAGGGCGGGAGAGCGAGAAAGACGGAGAGAAGCACGCTCCCCCCCTAGGCTCGACAGTCGCCGGTCGGCCGACCGATCTACCGGATCCCACGACACGTACACACACATGTATCCACCCTGCATGCTCGTGTGTACTACACACTGACTGCCTGCGTCGGGGAGGGGGTTGCAACGTTCTCACTCTCGCTCTTGCTCTTTTTCTCCCTCTCGCGCGCGCTTTTGCATTTCCTCTCTGACGACCTCTGCCTCGCTTACTTTAGATAGACAAGGCAATTTGCAAATTATTATTCGACTTGCGGCAAAGTTGCGTGCGGGAGTTGCGAGAAGAGGCGAAATATTTGACTAAGCCTTAGCGAGGAAATAAAAGCATCACAAGAGAGGAAGGACGGAACGTCTCAAGTGCAGTCGCAGGAGAAAGAGCGAGAGTGTGCCTGCAGGGAACTTTTGCCCTCCCACTTAGGATCTGTTTCTCTTTCTTTTTTCTCGTTTGCTTTGCTCTCTCTCTCTCTCTCTCTCTCTCTCTCTCTCTCTCTCTCTCTCTCTCTCTCTCTCTCTCTCTCTCTCATTCTCTCTCCCTCTTTCGCATTTTCGCTTTTTTATTCGTGCTTTCTGCTTTCTATTCGCTTCCAGCCCCACGGCTCGTATTATTTTTCTTCTACGTTTGGAACCAAGCCCCTCCGCGTTGCTCTCTCGCTTTGGCTCGCGCGCGCGCGTGTGTTGTCATTATATACGCTACTCGAATGGCAGCTTTTGCAAGGCCTTTTAAATGCACATGTCTTATATTAATTCATTTAATAATAATAGCGATCGTAAAAATATATTTGAAAATGCACTTTTGTGCGTTATATATACTTTGGCGAGAAGTAAATCAGCCAGTGGGCGCATTCGCTCGAGTAGCACGCTCAAGAGTTATTGAAACGACACACACATGTCGCCAATTAATTATTTCCTCTCTGCGTGGAACTGAGAGAGGCTCGCGGTCAAGAGGACTGCCTCGACCGATGCGAGAGATGCCAAAGCCAACAGTAGTATATCGTAACTACTCGGAGTGCTCATGACAATTGAGTATTTTTTTAAAGAGCTCGTAACTTTACGGGCTTTCCTCGTGTTTACAGAGTCGCTAAATTGAAATTTCGAGGTAGGCACGCCGAATTATTCGTCCGTTTTGCTTAAACCGCAATTGTATAAACAAATGATTGAAAATAAATTTTTCTCGTTGAGCGTACGCTCAACGGACTGCTAGCACAGTACCGATAGGTAAGCGAAAAACGTGTAATATTGGAAAGAAGTTTGTTTATGAAAATATCGCAAGGGAGTTCATTTTCAGAAAAGAGGGGACTATAAAAAAAAGAGGAAGAAGCCAGTGCGCCTCGGAAAAGCAGACTTTTGGATCATTTGCCGAAACGACGGCGACTCAAAGAAAACTGACGAGGAATTTCGCGTGACGTCCTGGATGTAGGGACCGAGCGAGCCTGAAAGGAGAAGAAAAGCCTGGAAAACATCGAGCAGCTTGAAAAAATACCGAAGCGTGAGCGTCGCGCAGAGGCAAAGTTTTCTTTGGCCAAGCGAAATAAGTAGCCCCCCTTGCAGTGTAGAGGTGCCGTCGAGCCGGAAGAAAGCGAAGACGAGAGAGCGCCTTTGGGCAGCGTGCACCTCTTGGGCGGAAAGAGCCGAAGACGCCCGAAATAATGGAGAGAAGACGAGAGAAGACTAGTCGCGGCACGCTGCGCGCATCCTTGACGAAAATCGCGCTAGCTCATCGACGTCCGATGGCTTCTCGGAATCGTGCGGGCACTTTTTAAAGCCCTCGATGACTGGCCTTTTTGCACTTTTTCACGCAGAATTCGCGTCCACTCGTTACCGCTTGTGTTCAAACACGGCCAGTCTTGGGACGAATTCGCGCAAACAGCGCGGTCCAGCGATTGTCCAACTCATTAGGTTCGCGGCGACGGAGGTGCACGCTCCGATCGTAAAGCGAGGCTCGAGCACACGCGTGGGAACGCGAACAAGGGGCGGACGAGAGCGGGTGCGAGCAGGCGCGCGGAAGCCCGGCCAATCCATAATGGAGTACATATGCCGTTGCGCGCTCGCGGCGTCAGATGCGACTGGGAGCGGCGAGCTGCACTTGCCCGGCCGAAGCGAGCTTCGCCTCTCCGACCAGACTGGCAAACCGGAGCCAAGGCTGGATGTGCCCCCTTCGACGTGTTCGCCCCACGCGCGCCCGCGGACAAAGAGACCGCGATAGCAGGCGAGCGCACCCTCGCGAACCCTCGCGCACCCTCGCGCACCCTCGCGCACCCTCGCGCACCCGTTACCCCCGGCAGCCGTGATCGATGACGCGTTCGCGATGATTCAGCCCCGGCGCGCCAACCGATTCGACTCGCCGCCTGCAGCTTTTCGCGCCGCGCAAGCTCTCGGCGAAGCTGCGCGCGCAGGCGGCAGATGCTTAGTAGGAGCTGCCGGGAGTCGGAGATGCTCGTGGCGCCGACGGCAATTTGCGTGCACGCCCTTGCACGCGCGAACAGAAGCCGCAATTTCCGGCCGCGAAAGTGCACGCTGCACGGCCGAGCGACGAGAAAGGGGGCAGCAGCTGCGAAGGAGAATACACGCGAACGCCCGTTACCGAGCACGGACGCAGAACGGCGCAAAGCCAGCGACGACACTTTCGAGAAGGCACTTGTCCGCGAGAGAAAAGAACGAGGGCTGACTGGGCTGGGACGGCAGTGGTTTCGCGCGAGCGAGGGCAACTGCTGCACTCGGCTGTCGAGGCCGTGAAAATGAGCGTTCGCGAGTTCGCCCGCAGTGATACTGCGAATCGAGGCTGAAACAGTTGCGAGAGAAGGAATGCGCGTGCGAGTGGCGGCGGCAGCGGGAGGAGGGATGCTGCGTGGCATTGTTCGGGCTTCTTGGGAACCGGTTGGCTGTATATTCGCACGGCACACCGAGCCGCAAGACACGCGAGCTCATTCCTACTCGGAATCGCTGGAACTTGTGGCTCGCTCGCGCTGACGACGCTGCTTGCGCCTTATCTCCGATGCCGCGCTCTCGCGAGATGCTTCTGGCTCGCTGCTGATCCAGCGCCGCGGCGCAGTGCCTGCGGTCGTAATCGTTTGCGGAAGAGAGGCGGCCACCCGTTTGATGATCGTCAATTTCAACAACTATTTTTACAACGTGTCAACACATGCTGACCGCCGAGAATAAATTTCCACGCGCGAGATCATCGCCGTATTATATCTCGCGTGCGAGACGTACGACATTCCCACGTCTCATCAATATTAATGCTCGGATTTCTCGAGCGAGAAGCCTTTCGTAAGACGTGCGACGAGAGCGTCCGCGTGGACTCGGCGGCAACGTCCGAGCTGCGCTCGAACATTTAAACAGTCAGCACGGTTGATGGACTGCATCCCAGACAATAACCCAGCAGCGGAACAGCAGCGCTAGATAATTCTTTATCGACGCGTCAGCAAAACGAGAGTGAAGTTACGAAAAAGACGCCAGGCGGCTTATCTTCGAACTGCGGACGGAAAGACACGTTGCCTCTTGGCTAACGGAGAGTAGCAACAGTGGCGTCGACGGCGAATGCATAGAGCGATAAAAATGTAGTCCGCTTGCGTAAGTGCAGCCGGAAAGCAGAGAAGCAGGTCGAGAGCCGGGCAAGCGGTGTCGTGGGGGCCGGCGAGAAGTGTAATTTCGGCAACGGTCCGTCCTCTCTTTCTCTCTCTCTCTCTCTCTCTCTCTCTCTCTCTCTCTCTCTCTCTCGCTCGATGTCGTATGGCTTGTTTGTAAATATAGCAGTGCCGAGCAGGCCTCGAGCGCGCTAGCCGCCGACAAGCCAATAATTCAGCTGCCGTTCCTTTCGGATCCGTTCGGCTCTTTCCGATCGCGAGTCCGACGAGCTTGCCCTGGCAGCTTTAATCGCGTCAAAGGATCGCTGCCAATAACGAGTTTCGGAGCGTAGCGCTCCCTCAAAGCCGATCGGTTTGAAAGTTTGAAAAAAGTCGTTACACCGCGCGCGCGACGCCGAGTGCACGGACCAGAAAAGAACATGATACCTACCAGAGGTACGCGGGTACAGTCAAACTGCTCGAGTGAGGGGGGGGGGGGCAGGTTTTCGGAGGGCGTGCAATAACGCGAGAGTCGCAAAATACAGCGAGCCGAAATGGAAGGATGATGCTGCGAGAGAGAGGAGCGTTGCGCGGAGCTCCAAAGGGGGGGGGGGGGGGCTGCAGTCACCTTACACATTCCAGGCCCCAGCCCTCGACTCGCTCGCGATTATCGCGACCTTCTCGCTTCTTCGCCGCGTCCTACAGTCGGTGCCGCGCGACTCGGATATAAGAAGCACGCACTGTGCACCAATGATGCTGCCCCCGTCGCGAGAGCCGCAGACAGCATAGCTGCACGCAGTCGGCAGCGATAGGTCTAATCAGAGGGCGCTCTCGCCAGATCGAGTGGGCAGCTGCTAGTTTTCATTAGAGAGCGAGAAGGCAAGGAGAGCCGGGATCGATATCAATAGGGCGACCGGCCGATGCTGCGATGCTGCAGTTGGACAGCGGACGGTCCACTCGACAAAGCAGCCCTGGCCACCCGAATGCGCACCCATCCATCCATCCCTTGGCCGTCCCCGCATGCGCGCGCCACAGATCGCAGAGGGTCGCACGTCGACCGCAGAGACGAGCAGCGCTCCGGTCTCCCCCCCCTGTGTGCGCACACGTGTGTACACGCACTCGACCAATATGTCGCGCATCACCTTGCCAGCGCCTCGCTCTCGATTCCCTCCGACTTGTCCCCCCCCCCTCCCCCCCAACGCTTCCGCACTCATTTGCGATCGTTTCTTTATACGCGCCCTCGTAGACGTTCCCGCCTTTCGCTGTCGCATCGCCGCATTGCGCCCGCAACTGCTCCCCGACCACGTTATCCGTCTTACAAGCTCGTGCTGCCCCTCCCTTCGCTTTCTCTCTGCTCTGCGTTTCAAGTATCGCAGTACACTGACTCGCAACTTCAACAGCAGCCGAATCAACTGCTGCAGCGAAATCGATCGTGCGAGGAAGCTATTGTAAGAGCGGAGATTCGAAAGAAACGTTATCTCAGAACGGTATGTAGCTATGCAAGAGGGGGGGGGGGGGGGTGGACAGATTACCGAACTTCAGAGCAGGCACGCTACTGTCTGAAGAGAAAACATGAAGCTTGCCCCGAGATTTTCCGATCTTCAAACCGAGGCAGTAGAACGAAGTTGAAAAAAGGAGGGACAAACAGGTCCGTATCCCGTCCGTGAGACTTCAAAGCTCCAGTCTGAACAAAGTAAAATCTTGGTCGTCTCCCGAAAGAAGTGCAGCGTGGAGAGTAGGAGGGAAAATGGAGAAGAGCCGAGACCGCGCAGGTATGCACGGAAGAGTGAGCCAAGAGAGCGAGAGAGAGAGAGAGAGAGAGAGAGAGAACACGTGGAAGAAGGAAAAAGGGAAAAGGCACCCGAGGAGCGCACAGCGATCGGGCTTGGCTTCTCGGAAGCCCAAAAATGCGTGGCTACATGAGAGCAAAAAATGAGCTTGTTACGCCGTCCGAGCGCGCGCGCGAGGACTTTGCCTTGTGGCCGATTTGCCATCGGTTCACTGCCAGTGGCGCTTTTCGCCGTTTTCTCCTTGTCGCATCGAGTCGCTTGATCCACCGATCGCTATACGAACGCAGTATTATTACGGTGGGTGGAGCTTACGAGCGCAGCCCGGACTCTTCAGAGGCGACGATCGTAATTGAAGTCAAATAAAACTACGATCACGCCATCGAATCAAGAGCTCGCTACCCGCAGCTGTGCCTCGCCGCACAACGAGTATCATTCACACGTTTTTCTATTTAGTGGCTCGCATATGACTTCAAACGTGGGCGCGCTCCATGAAGTTACGTCGTCACGTCGGTTCAAGCGAAGTACGCCTTTTTATATCTTTGGGGAACTATCAAACGACCGCCCGAAAAATAGAACAAGCTTCACTTCGAATTCCCAATTTTTTTTCTTGGTCTTTTATCGCTACTTTGCCTCTTACATGAGTTACGAACTTCAATTAAGCGCAGCAGAGAGACAACCATTCTATTACGATACATTGGCAAGTTAGGCACCAGTGTCGTAGACCCGAACGGACTTGGCGAGTGACAGCGCGAGACACTGCGATTTTATTCCATTGACGAGTTCGCCAGAAAGAAAATAGGGGCTTGAAGTCGAGGGCGAAAATTGCAGCGTTGGCGTAGAGCGAAGCTGCTGTGATCGTGCGAGTAGGCGTAATCGGCGGGTATCTTTTGTAGAGCTGAAGTGGCGTGGTGCGTTGTATCTGGCGCAGCTGAAGTACACGCTGTTCGACGATCTGGTCGTCTAACGCCGCTCGGACTTATCAAAATTAAATTGCCCCTTTGGGAGAAAAAGAGAGTGGGGAAGAGGGCGGGGGAGGGGGGGGGGCAGTGACGTAAGTCCGGGGGTCCGCATAGCAACAGCAGACCGAGCGAGATCGCTTGCGCGCGCTCTCTCGCGTCCTTCCTTCCTTCGGTCCCACATTCTCGGACGCACGTGCTGGCGTATGCGACGGGACCGAAAATACCGCGCGAGCCGATCCGAGCCGATGCTCTGGCTGCGAAGTCCGGCAGGCCAGCTGCACGCGCGGGCACTGATGTGCCGGGCGAGAGAAAAAATGGAGCGACGTACCGGCTTCGGCAGCGAGCCGGCGGCTTGTTTACTCGAGCGTTTTGCCTTGAATCAATGAATGGATGCTCGCGCTGATTCATCCGAGAGCCACCGTGGCCTCGCTCGCTCTCGCTCGCTCTCGTCCGCTCTCGCCCGCCTCTTTCGTATTTGCCTCAACGAGTTGTCGAAAGACCGACGAAACGCGAACGCGCGAGCAACTTATCTGGAGAGAGAAAAACGGACTCGAGATTACGGGGAACGAAATCGAGACGCGCAGTTGCGCAGCCGTGCGGCGCCTCGCTCTCGGAAGCTCGCCGCCGCCGACCTGCGGGGACGCAGCTTTCGCGAACGCGCCAGCCGCGGCTCGCTTTGTTTTGTCCCGGGCTCCGCGTCGCTGTGTTGTGACGATCGATCTCGCATCTCGCGCGCCCTGCACACTCGGGTCGTTCACCTTACACTCGATTTTCCAGATATCGCCGACGTTTGTTTTGCTCGCGTGACCGCGCCCGCGCTCGCCCATGCGCGTATACATCGCGGCTCTATTGACATGCCGCGGTGGCCGTACCGCTGCGTCCAGTCGGAGAAGGCTCGAGGACGCGAGGCCCGCAGCCGGAGGGACGCGCGCCACGTGTCTCGCCACCTGTCTTGCCTGCATAATGTGGCCGAGGGCCGAGAGGGAGGTTCGCGACAGCCGGCGCCCCTTGGAAAAGGCCGCGTTACCATGCGCAACGAGCAGCCCCTGCCGCTCGCCTCCTCGCACGGGTCTAACGAGCGCGCCTCGAAGGAGGAAAGCTGCTTGCGTACTCACGGTCGTGCAGTGCGCCGAGTGGACCGTCTGCGGAACTGCTTCTGCTGCTGCTGCTGCTGCTGCTGCTGCTGCTGCTGCGGCTCCTGCGGCTGCTGCTCCGGCTGCTCCGGCTGCTCCGGCTGCTCCGGCGGCAGCGGATCTGGCGGCGCTGGTGGCGCGTTGCACAGAAAATTGCGCAGACGACAAAACCTCCTCGCAAGGCCGTCGCAAGGCTCGCCGGTGCAGCTGGCACAGTAGACCCCGACGAACGCGGTGGACACTGCACTATCTCGCCGGTATGCACAGTACTGCAATCTCGCCGGCTCCGCCTGGTCGTCGCTTGCTGCCTGCGAGTCGTTATTGCACGGCCGATTCACGCTGGACAGCGTCGTCGCCTCACCTAGCATAGTAGGTGTTCGCCCGCGTCGAGCGCCGATCGCTGTCCAACTGAAACGTAAATACGACAGCCTCGATTAGCCATCGATCTCGCAGCAATCGCTTTCTCGCCCTCTTCCTTTGTCTGCCTCTGCCTCGCCTCGCGCGCCTCTCTGCAGGCTCTCCCTTTCGCATAAACAAACTCGAACATGCCTACAGGCCACTAAGTACTCGCCGTACACAGCTACATCTGTATTTTGCTGTGCTTCGTTCCGATCGCCGTTCTCTGCACAAGGTATCTACGATATTCACCGGGAAATCTGCATGGCTATTCCATCAGCCCTATCCGAGCTTATTTATTTTTTCCTTTTGCTGTGCCTGAGATTGCGAACACTGCGAGCCCGTCGGAAGAATATTCGTCGTTATAAGCTTTTCGTTCACCAACCAAACTACATTATTATCGTTTTATTTTTATTATTCTTTTCGTGCTTCAACTTCGGCGCCAAGGAATACGGCCAATCAAATTCAAAGTATAATATACACACGCGTGTAGCCAACAGCGGACGCGGTTTTCAATCGACCATTGGCGCCAAAAACATGCAACCGATCGAACCGATGCAACTGCGAATAAAACAATTTTATTACGCTCCACTCCAATTGCCTTCCAGCATATTTTGATATATCTGTTAGCAAATCAGCATTTTCACCACGATTCGTCTTTATCGTATTCCCTATTTTAATCGAACCAACGCATGTCAACAATAGAGACTCGTTCTACTCTATAATTACAGTGTTAACCTCTCAAAAAAGACTTCACAATGAAGTTTAAGTGTAAAATGACTGACACTGGCGCTTTACGAGACTTTTCAAGTAAGCTTACAATTATTTCTATTTAACAAATGCTCGGAATATTAATAAATTGTTTTTTTTCAGATGTCGTTACAGTTATAGCAAGAATGGCAAAGATGTGTGTCATACGACTGACTTCAAACTCATTTAATTTTAATCTTGCTGATGACAGTACACCTATGGTGTGGGCAAAATTAGACAAAGAACATTTTTTTGTAGACTATCTGGTGTCAGGAAAGTCAGAAGAGTTCAATGAAATTTATATGGAAATTAGTACAGCCATACTTGTGAAAACTGTTGTTACATTCAAAACAACAGCTAAAACCGTCAAGATCAAATTAACTAATAAACATCAACCCTGTCTCACATTTGATATAGAACTTTCTTCTATCAGTAGTGACACAAGATTGTGCGTCCATGACTTGCCAGTAGTCATGGTTCCACAAAAAAAATGGAAAGAATATAACGAACCACAAATAGAACGGTTTGATGTAAGACTTGTAACTTTTCCAATCTTATTGATTGCTGTATTCTGATATATATTTATTCTACTTTTTCTCTAGATCTCTTTAGATATGCCTGAATTCAAGCACCTGCGAGGAGTGATGGAACGAATAAAAAATCTCAGCCCTACTCTAGTCTTTTCAGCCGATACAAATGGTACACTTATGTTTACAGCTGATGCAGATGCAGCCACAATATCTGTGAATTTTTCAAATTTAGCTGTTCACGATTGTAGTGCTGAAACCGAGACCATTTCAGCCAGTATTGATATTAAAAAATTTCATGCATTGCTAGGATGGGATACCATTCATCCAACAATTATGAGATGCAGTATTTTGAGTGAGAGAGTGATAGTTATAAGTATTAATTTAGAAGAATATTTGCACATAAAATATTATATACCAGCAATTGCATTGTAATGCTTAGTTAGATAAATATTTATTTGTAAATACATGAATTTTATGCTGTGTTAAATTAAAAAATTTTTTAACTTAATTCGTAATAGATCGTATAGACAAAAATTATAGCAATAATCTGCTAAATATTTTAATTCCTGTCAATTTTTTCCTGCTCGTAATTCGTGATTATTGAAGTTACCGATAGTGATTATTTCATTAGATAAAGAAGTACTCTGCAAACTTTAACAAGAGAGGCGCCACTATGCAGTACTTCGAGCGATTTATCTTCTCTTTTATACATACAGTTCACGGCGTCGTTGGAATTTAAATCTGAAAAACCGTTTGTACTTCAGCAGACGTATTGTGTGACGAATTAAATTAAGCCGTAAGTTTTTCAACTAACTGTAAACAAGATTTTTATGATATGAGTTAATGTTTATTCGTTGCTATAAACTTTATGAGTGATACATCGTACAGATTTTACAGTAATAACCGCAAGGTATATACATTTTATTCATCATCAAAACTTACATTAATATTGACGATTCAAAAAGTAACCTGGCATGAGTAGTTTCTTTTCAAGTCTGCACAATGCAATTTAGAGATGTTTCCTAAGAATCTAAATTTTTTCTATAAACTGTACTTTATCGTTGCGTTAATAGTTTTTTATTTCTTTAAATTATTTGTTATATTTATAACGACGTTAATTACATTTGTTGACAAAGAACTGACTGTATACAAATGCGTCTTTATTTTATTTGCAAATGATTTCAATAAAAACGTTCTTACTTCAAATGTGTATGGTTTTAAAAATCACGATATTTTTAAAAAAACGGATTCGCGTCGATTTTAATGAAATGCGATCGAGGAACAAGTTGTGACTTGTTTAAGAGACACTTCAGCAGATGTGATTTTCCCTCTTGCATCCCCCTGTAAATTATTAAGAAGATTTTGTAAGCTGCAGCATCTGACAGCATTTTTAAATACTAAATAAAATAAAATGAATTTAACGAAATATGAAAATTGTAATTACAATTCGTAGAAAAATAAAGCACATTTGAATCTTGATAAAATTTTAGATGAATGGGACTTTGTCATCGGAGAATGAGTCCCTCAGGGGAGATATGTCTTACCTGTATGGAAGAGATCCTAGTATCTTAGCCTACGGACAACGGCCTTTTCCATCCCAAGAATCAAAAAAGAATTTAATGTTACTGCTACAGGAGGAAAAAGAAGATAATGAATCAATTGAAAGTAGAGACAAAGATTCAACGTGCAATGATTCTCTAATTCAAACAATTAAAGTGTTTTTGCGAATGAAACCTTTTCCACGCAAAATGAAGCTCACTGCAGAACAGACAGATGCATATTCAATTGTCAATTCAACTACATTGTTAACTAAAATGCCATCACTTGACAATAACACTAGTTGTTTGAAAAAAATAAAGACAAGTGATGTGGTGTGTAGAAAATTCATGTTCACACAGACATTTGGTCCGGAAACTTCACAACTTAAACTCTTTGATGAAGCTGTAAAACCTCAATTGCTTGACTTTTTGGCTGGAAAAAACTCAGTTGTAATGAGCTATGGTTGGTATAAGTATAATTTTTAACTAGATAATATTTTCTAAGTTATTTTATAAATAATTGTATTTTTAGGTACAACTAACTCAGGAAAGACGTATACATTACAAGGAACAGCTGAATCTCCAGGCATCATTCCTCGTGGTATAGAATTTGTTTTTGGCCACCTCAGTCCAAGGACTTTGCCATGCTTTAAGCCAATTAACCATTGTGATGTAGTTTACTTGAATAACAATGAACGCCTTCAAGAGTCCAATGAAAAAATCAAATTATTAGCCTTTAATTCAGTAGATAAAAATTCTCATGAAAGAACTTACAAACAAATGCAGCATCTGTTACATGAAGAATTACCAATGAGACCCAATCACAGGCAGGATGCCCAATATTCAGTATGGATATCATTTGCAGAAATATATAATGAGACCATTTATGACCTACTTTGGAATGACTGCCAGAAAAAAAGACCAGCACTAAAGTTAGTAACAGATAATAAAGGTCGAGCTTTTATTAAAGGTTTGAAAAGAATTTGTGTCAGTTCTGGTGCTGAGGCTTATCAACTTCTGATGGCAGGACAATACAACTTGAAAGTAGCTGCTACCGCACTTAATTCAAGAAGTTCTAGATCTCACTGTATATTCACCATAAAATTGTTAAAATATACAAATGAAAACGACCCCCTTTCTGTCGATGTTAGCACGTAAGTAATACTTAGTTTTCTATGTAAAAGCTAATAATCTTAATTTATAATGTTGAACTAAAAATTTTTACTGATTATAGATTTGCGTTTTGTGATTTGGCTGGATCTGAACGCCTAAAAAAGACATTGAATGTCGGCGAGCGCTTAAAAGAAGCTCAAAATATCAATACAAGTTTACTTGTATTAGGAAGATGTTTGAAACAAATCTATGAATCTCAAGCTTCAATTAAACAGAAGAATGATTCTATAGGGCCATTTAGAGAATCGAAACTAACACGACTGTTTCAACGAGCATTATCGGGAAAAGAACAAATTTCATTGATTGTAAATGTAAATCCTGTACCCAACTTGTATGTCGAAACGCAAAACGTACTTAATTTCTCAGCAATAGCTAAGAAAATTGTGATAGAAAGAAATCAAGAAGTAATTAAACGAAAACATTCCCACTCAAGATTTTCACGTTTAGTCACACAGAGTATCAAAACTGAAATGGATTGGGAAAATACAGAACTAGACGATCAAACTGATACATGTAAGTTATATTTTATTTAACAAATGATTAACTTTGATTTCATGATTAACTTATATTTGTTTACATTATGTGAGATATCTATTGTTCAATGATTGAATCCAAATAAGGATTAAAGTAAATCCTTTGAAGATTTAATGATTAATATAATATTTTCATTAATTTTCTAACATTGTTCTTTAAGATTAGTGTACAAGTTACGTTTGTTATATTAATTTCAAAAGTTAATAATTGCTTCAAAAGTACAATGATACTTTCAAATGCTCAAAATTACGATTCCCTATAATTATTACATATTTTTTAAGCATTTTTATATTTTTTTCGTAAAGGCAGATGTATAGATATATTTAAAGGATGTATTATATGAAGGGGGGTAAAGTAAACATTTCAATGTATACTAATTTGGAAATAAAAAAATAAAAATATTTTATTCGTAAAACTTTGAACGCTCATTTGACGTTTCATATTGTAAGAAACATTACATTAATGATCGAATTTCCGTGTGTCTATTCATGTCCACCTCTTATTTAAAACTTACAATTGAATTTACAAAGATTTTTATCTTTAAACTAGCTGATGATCAAACCCAAGAGTCTGACATAGATGAGAATGATCAAGAATGTTATGAAGAATTGTTAACAGAAAATGAATTGTTGAAAAGAGAAATAAAAGAGTTAAAAACTGCTGCTTTTACGAGAGACATGCAAACCCGTCAAGAAATGTCGGATATGTATTCGGAAATGATGAAAAAGCTTGAAGCTGAATGGAAGTGAGTTTTATTTTTATAAAAATTATTCAATGTTTGAAAATGACAGTATTTTTATTTTATTCAAATTTTTTATGTTTTTTAGAAATAGAATGATAGATATGGAAGAACAGCAAGAAGATTTACGAGAATTAGCAGTCGAACAAATTGAATTATTCTACAAAGAAAAGCTTAATTGTCTTAGTGCTCGAAAAAGATCTCGACAGTCAGATGACAATGAGAATGAAAGTGATGATGATAGGAAAATAATTGAAGATTTAGAAATGGAAAATACTCGACTGGTGGCTAAAATTGAAACTTTGAAAAAATCTGTTCGTGATTTGAAACACAGTAAAGAAGAAATTGAAACTGAAAAAACGAAGCTTTCTTTCGAATTAAATGTGGTCAAGGATGAAGCAAAACGCACCAATGATATGTTATTGACGGCGCAAAATACAATTAATTCTGGTGGAGATGTATCTGCTAATTATATGAATGAGTTAAATGATATTATCAAAAAGAAGGATGATAGAATAAAAGTAAGCAATATTTTTATTAAGTTTTTTAATATTAAATGAATTACAAAGAATTTTTTTTTCAGACAATGAAAGTATTTTTGAATGAAGCCAAAGAAGAATACATTTTCATTACTAATCAAGCTCAGAAAATGGAAAATCAATTGAAAGCTCGAGATGAAGCTCTTGTGGAGCATACTGAGCATATAAGTGATTTAGAAGAACAATTAAATCAAGCTAATGCGTATTCCTCTGAACAAAGTAAACTGATTGAAAATTTAGAAGAGGAGTTAGAACAACAAACAAAGAAATGGATAGAAGCTGAAGAGAAGATAAAAGTACTCACAGATAAATTATCTACTAAAAACACTTTGAAATCTGATGAGGTAGTAAAGGTAATTAGCAGTATCATTTTGAATTTAAAAACTTGTGATAAAATACTTATGTTATGATTTTTGAAGGCTCCTGAAAATGAATCGACTGATCAAGAATTGACCAATGTAAAGGCACTTCTTGAAGAACTGAAGCTCAGACTCGAATTTTCTGAAAATGAAAATACACAGCTCAAAGAACAATTAAATGGAAAAGTGGATGAAATTGAATCACTAAAAAATAACTTTGATTTAACGAAAAATGAGTTAGATAAAGTAACAAAAAAGGTTAATGTATTATCCATTGAAGGTTTGGCAGATGAAAAAGTCAATGAAATGGAGGCTCAAGAAAAAAAAGCTCAAACTGAAATTTTTGAACCCTTATATGTCAAAGTTACAGAAACTGCAAATATCAGTTGTCAGGCATCTCAAGATATTGTTGATATTAGTTGTCAAACCTTAGAAATTGTAAATCCCTCTATTGAAACTGATGAAAAAGGATTACAGACATCGATACTTCTGGAGCAGAATGAAATTAGTAACGCTGTTAAAATGGAGGTAAATGCTTTCAAATTACTGTAGAATACGATACTAACCAAATATTACAAAATTTTTTTCACTATTTATTTTAGACGCCTAACATGGAAGAATTTAATGAGTTACAAAAACATTGTGAAGAAATGAAGTTAAGTCTAGAAATAAAAATAAATGATGAAAAACAATTTGACGAGACAATACAAAATTTACAAGTACAAGTCGAGCAACTAATTATTCAAGATCAAGAGAAAACTAATAAGATTGCTGTTTTGCAAGCAGGTATACAAACGTAGAATTAATACTGTATTGCATTGTGATACATGATATTTTAAATAAACGTATCTTGTACGATTATATAGAACTGGAAAATACGTTAAAAAAATCTAACGAAGAAGTTAGAGATCTGAAGATTTTGGTGGAAGCTCAAGAAAATAGAGCTAAAAACTTAATGGATCAAATTACAGAAGCACATGTTCGAGAACAAGACAGAGAAGGAGAAATATCTAGTTTCCAGAAAGGTAAATGATGCTAATGGCATTGAAAAATTTATTGAAACAGATTGTGTTAATTAATTTGTATTTTTCAGAAGTGAAAAATTTAATTCAGTCATGTGAAAAAAAAGAAGAACAAATAAGAACTTTGGAATCCGAAACTAAAACTGTTCTGAAAGAATGTACCATGTTGAAAGAACAATTAACTAAATCAGATGAAAAAAGTAGAAAAATGGAAAAGGATTACAGGAATGTAATTCATATTCTTGAAGTTAAAGTTGGTACACTTGAAAAGAAATATCTCGAAAAAGAAACTGAAAATGAAAAATTGAAGCAAAGTATTAAAGATTTAAAGAGAAGTTTGGATGAAGCTGAACATGAATTAATAGTATTTACCAGAAATAGAGATGAAACAGTTTCAAGATATGAAGATTTACTCAAAGTACAATGTGAGGATATGGAAAACCAAAAAAAAGAGGTATGGGATTTTGTACGATGATGCAATAATGATCAATATTAAATTGTACTTGTTGATAATTTTATTTTACTCTGTCGTTTAGATTGCGAAATTACACAAATTATTCCAAGAAAGTAAAGAAAATACTATATTTCCGACACCACTGAAAAATAAAAAGTTGCGAACAAATGTGAGGGAAGCGAAAAAGGTAAAACTAAAGAGAAATATCTAAAACCTTTTATTCATGAGTTCACGCTTTATACGTAGTATGATTATTTTAGTCTAAAGCTGCAGATTCAGATGTTATTGAAAACACTTCAGACGAAGATCAACACAAAGAAAACTTAAAACTGAAAAAAGAGTTTCTCACACCTACTAAGGACAATGTGATGGAGTTATCAGATACTGCTTCTGAATCAAAGTAAAATGTTTTATGACTATCATACTCTAAAATATTATTTTCTATTGTTACTAATACTTATTTACCAATAGGAGTCATAAGTCAGCACAAAGTGCTACTAAAGGTCCCTCAAAGTCTACAAAGAAATCGAGAAGGAAATTACATATTGAACATGATGAAGAGTACATTGATTTAGAACCCAGTGAGGTAACGTTGCTTGTAATAACAATTATTTTTTTTGATAATGATGACGAACTTTTTGAAATTATATATTTTTTCGTACAGCCTTCACCTGTTCAACCAAGAAGTTTACGTAATCGGCGAAAATAGGGATATTTAGTTGAAATTCATGTAAGACTCGAAGAAGATATGTATTTAGTTTTCTATTTTATATTATCAAAAATATTTTTGTAGTTTGTAAATAATTGAATACGATTAAACAATTTTTTAAAGAAAATCATTATTATCATAATATGTTAGTATATGTTTATACATTCAAAAGGTTGATTATTAATGTACTATTTTGGATGCATGAAGTAAACCTTCAAATTTAGTTCATTATGTTACTCTTTAGTATTATTAAATAATAATATTTAATCTACTAATTAAAGTAAGATTTTTAAGTAACATGACATATTCTTACGATTTAATATTCCTTACACACAACAATAAGTATTGATGTAAAAATGCAAACTTAATGTAGTACAAGTACGTGTAGTAGCTAGTGTAGTTCAAGTACTAGCCATTGAATGGATTGAATATAACAATCATCATAGATCAATAAAAATTATTTAATTTAAAACATATATTTATGAGTGCTATTATCTTTATGAAGAAAAATGAATAGAGGATTTCATTTCGGTGTGCGAATCAGACGAATTAAACCGAACCTTTTTGGCTAAAAATTAATTAAAGAGCATGTTGATACAAGCACCACTGAAAAAAGTTTCGTGTGCATTGTTCTCAAACACATTGCAAGCCTCCGTCGCTGATTAGCACTGATGGAGCATAAATAGAGCGACGTTAAATAAAAAAAAAAAAAAATTAAAGAACATGTAGTTTCGCGACGGGAATCGTATTGAAATATATGTGAGAATTTCGATGGATAGATTTTCAAATCTACATGAAAATCTGTATTATTACAGATTCTGGTTATAATTAACATTAAGTTACTGTCAAATTAATAATTTTTAAATGATAGTAGAAGTTCTATTATAATATACTACTCGATCTCTTCTGAAAAAGAGCAACTGTATTGCTAGGCAGTTTATTAATAACTTCATTTTACAAGGATTTGATTTTTTTCTAGTTAGTCGTATTGATAATTTGATATTGATAACACGTTGTGAAAGTGTTTGAGTTACGTTAATAAACTCCTCTTCCTGCTTCATCTATAAATCATAATTGTGTTTATTGTTGTGAGAATATCAGAATATTATAATATTAATAATTTTTATTTCTACGAAACTAAATGAAATATGTATGGTACATTATTATGAATTAAATGTGCGTTCTGTGTATAATAGAAAAGAGATTTAATGAAAATCAAGTAAAACTGAAAAACCATGATAATTTAAGTGAAAAAAATGTCAACGTATATATTTATATTAAAATGTGAATTTATGCGGCATCGTTCTTAAAAATTTCCTTTACATTAAAACGATTTGTTTTTCTTGAAAACTCTCCGCCCACCGATTGTTCTTTCAATATAAGCCCTTGTGATTTTATAGCCTAAAATTATTTTAATAAATAGAAGTATAAAACATATTTTTTTCACGACGCGCACTTATAAATTTACATTTATAGAGAAAAATATAAGTCGACGTTACTCCATCGTTTCTAATAAAAATTATAAGGCACCCCTGATTTTAATTTATTTTATTTAGGATTTTTAAGCTTTACAGAGCCTTGGAGGTTTGAATTTTCTAGTAGTCATTCCCAATATTTTTTTTAATAAAAATTGGTGTTTTTCTAAACAAAAAAACGTCAATCCTATGTAAGTTTGATCCACTACAAAATTTTCATGCACATTTGAATTTAAAAAGTAATATTTTTTGAAACGATGAAATACGAGTATCGTCGATTTCGTTGCATTTAAAACACTACAAATGTTGTATCAGTATATGACGGCATGATTCTTTTTTCCTCATATTTCTTCAACTTTCAGCTTCAACTGATGAAAATTTCAAATGGCTATGTATAAAATTTGTCAAACCACATAAAAATAACGTTTAATTTTGATATTTGAAAATCGCTAATTTTATTGCATTTAAGGCCAATTTTTGTCAAATACCCCAGTCATTTTTAAATTTACTGCACACAAGTTGCAGGAAAATACATTTTCTATTCGTTTTAAACCAATTGGTTTTGAAACAAAAATATTATAAATATTCTAAAATTTTCTTTACATTTTTATAAGATTTTTGCAATCTTTGGGTATTATAAAGAGGCAACGTCATAGAATGCTACCTTCAGATCCTTGTAGATCACGTCGTGCTTCATCTTTCGGTAAAAGTGAGGTCATTGTTGTAACAATATATCTGATATTGTTACATAGCTTGTTTGTTTCGTTCGATAAAAAATTTAGGTAAGTGTGACATATTTTATTCTATGTTCGTCTATTGTTTTTTTTTGTCAACGCAATTAATGAATTTATAGGTTTTATTCAAAAAATAATTATGGGGAGGAAAGCAGTGCCCGAAACAAAAAAATGGCAAATTATTGGTTTGTTGAAAGCAAATAAAAACCAGACTAAAATATCTAAATTATTGAACGTAAGTAGATGTTATGTACAAAATACTATTACTGCTTACCACAAAAGTAAGACGGTGAGAAATAAGAAAAATACAGGAAGACTGCGCGCAACAAGTTCTCGAATTAATAGAATTATCATTCAAAAAGCCAAACAAAATCGTTCTATAACAGCAAATAGTGTTAAAAATCAATTAGATGTAGAATTAAAGGTTAAAATATCCAGACAAACAGTCAACAGGCGTTTGCTTGAAAAGAATTTGAAGTCTCGTGTGGCGTTTTCCAAACCTCTACTAAGCTCTGTAAATCGTAAAGAAAATTTTGGAATATCTATAATATTTTTGTTTCAAAATCAATTGGTTTAAAACGAATAGAAAATGTATTTTCCTGTAATTTGTGTGCAGTAAATTTAAAAATGACTGGGGTATTTGACAAAAATTGGCCTTAAATGCAATAAAATTAGCGATTTTCAAATATCAAAATTAGACGTTTTTTTTATGCGGTTTAAACAATTGTATACATAGCCATTTGAAATTTTCATCAGTTGAAGCTGAAAGTTGAAGAAATATGAGGAAAAAAGAATCATGCCGTCATATACTGATACAACATTTGTAGTGTTTTAAATGCAACGAAATCGACGATACTCGTATTTCATCGTTTCAAAAAATATTACTTTTTAAATTCAAATGTGCATGAAAATTTTGTAGTGAATCAAACCTACATTTGATTGACGCCAATTTTGATTAAAAAAAATATTGTGAATGACTATTAGAAAATTCAAACCTCCAAGGCTCTGTAAAGCTTAAAAATCCTAAATGAAATAAAGCGAAATCAGGGGTGCCTTATAATTTTGAGCACCACTGTACATAGTATACAAACGTATACCTATCCGTGTATAGACAGATAGGTTCTATTTACAGATATAGATTTGTATACTATGTAGGAGTAACGGGGGGGGGGGGGGGTAACGGAGACCCAGACGGTTTAAATCTATTTTAAAAATCAAGATTCAAGCATTATATAATGATAAAAAAACTACAGCGGAAAATAATAAAATGTTAAAAAAACGGGTAAACGAAGCTCACTCGGAGTTGAAAAAAAACAAGAATATGTTGGTGTTGCTGAAAGAAAAGGCGTAATATGACATCAATAGAATAACTTTCTTAACATTTTTATTATTTTGTAAAAAATATGGACAGATGTGTAGATTTGTTAGGTGAAATCGGTCAATGTCTGACTACATAAATAAAGGAATTCGTTGAGCGAACGTGACGTAGCGCACGTGCTACTGCTTCAAAATAGCCGAGTGCTAAAGTTTAAAAGTAAGGACCGCAGCTATTATAAATCCGAGGACAGTGCTTCTGAGCGAGCAGCGCATACGGCACTTCGCTGCCGACCCGTACCACCTCGGAGGCGCTCAGCTTGTTCCACACATGGATAGCTCGAGCTTCTTCAATCATTTGCATTGTCTCATTCGAGTCGATCATCGTAAAGTATCGCCTCCACTCTTTGTAGAAAATTGGGTAGAAGGCAGATGGCGGAAAAACTTGGAAACCGCTGCAACGCTCCGTCGTCATGTCTTTTGCCTTTATAGATAGAAATATTTCGGTTTCAGTAAACTTTTATTTTATGAAAATTACTTTAATTGACAAGTATATGCAAATTTATATCTTTAGGCCTATTTCATTCAAAAGAGTATGATTGCTAGGTGATTTTATTCCATTAAGAGTACGTCTGAGTCAGTGTTTATTAATTCAAAATTTTCTAAATGCTCAAGCTGACTCACATATAGCTCACTCCAAACATACGTTGACAATTATTGCATGCAGTTTCATCCATTACGGTATAGTTTCGCACATGTGCATGCACGTTTGATGGAATTCGCGTAGCTGGGGTCTGGGACGCACGTGTGTGACGTTTTTGGGAGACGAAAAGGAAAAAAAGATTGCTGCTTGAACGATTGTTGAGCGAAACCATATATCCGGAGGGTTTGTGTGGCAAGAATAGGGACGCTTATGAGAAGTGCCGAGTCGAGGAAGAAGCCGAGGCCTGTGTTTCTTCGCCACTTCACGCGTCGTGACACGGCTCGCAGATCCCGTACGCGAGGTAGCTTCGACTCGTAGAAAAGCGAAAGGGCAGTCCGGCTTGGGTCCTCGAGCAAGCAACGGCTCTTCGAATACCAAGCGTTTATTCGACTTCAATAAACAAGTTGTTATTGTTTTAACGATCAGCCTCCAACTAAATTCATTTCTGCTCACCTGATCTCAACCAGAACGTTACAACTATCAATTACCGTTAACAAACCAGTACTATCTAGGCCCATCAGTGGCACAAAATGTGACACACCGATAAATAATAACTTGAAAGAGTAAACAATGTCAGATATTTATTGCAATACTGATTGCGCGTGACGATCGCGTGCGACATGTATCAGGATTAAAATTATCAATAACATATATCTTAACATTTACCCAACAATTAAATAACTATAAAAAAAAAAAATAAACAAAATTAATCATTGTGAAAAGAAAATCGAGTTCAAAACGTAGAAAATAATAGTTTTGTAATAATTTTTTTTATTTTCCTAACTTTCATTCAGTCCCTATATAACATTATAAATATAATAATGTTTTCTTTCCAGATGATTACAAAATAACCAAGATATGATAGTTTTAGAGTTAATTCGCAGTTCCGATATGTCGGCCTTTTCATAGAAAATCTTTAGAGCTTCGTTTCTATATCACAGGTACGACAGAAGAATATCTAAACTTTAACGATTTTATAATAGATATGAAAAAATAACAGCGAGCTGCTTGAATCAGCGCTGGCTTAGATGCTCGTTTTTCTCAAATCTGTATGATTTTCGATATCTGACGAAAATTGAAAGCTACTCAAATATTTGGACTTCTAATGTGCTTATTCTACATGTGACGGCAGGTTTATATTGTTCGAATGTCGATTTTTTATCTCGAGATAATTGAGAATATAAAAATTCAACAATAATTTGTTACTTCGACGGCTTATTTGTTGATTTGCTGGTTTTCAGGCCAATCTTTTTTTCTTAGATAACTTTCAAAATAAGATAGCACCAAATGAAAACAATATTCAAACAGACGGTCTACACTGTATAGAAAAATGTATATTTCAAAATTATTATATTTAATCGTGTCATTAAGTTTTATCGTAGAAAAATTCTTTAAACATATGTGATTTTTACTTATTAAACGTCGGGAGCTCTGAGACTGAAAACAAACCGTTTCTATTTTTGCCCAATGCATTGCGCTCATATTTTCATGATGCGAGCCAGTTTAATTGGCAACGAGCTTACAACGCTTCTGTCATTGAAAGTTGTTAAGAAATGTAATGTGACCGATGAGCATGAGCTTAATCTATGGTTATTAAGCGGGGACTATCTTGTAACAAACGGATTAACGGATCGAACTGTTCCGAATCGAGAAAGAGAAAAAGCAACCTCGTTTCTGGCAGCCGGTATAAATAAAAAAGCTGACAAGCGATGATCAATAAGACAAGCTCGCGGGGTATAGACAAGGCTGGAAAAGTAGGTTGCTACAAGCGGAACGAAATGATTAAGAAGGAGAACAAGAGAGAGAAAAAAAGATCTTACGTGCTCGACGGCGCAGAACTTTTGCAGCGTCCGAGTGATGACGCCGGGTCCATTGTTTCCCCAGAGGTTGCCGCGGAAATTCCTCATCAAGTCGCGCAGACAGGCGTCGGCGACTCTGCGCCCGAGGCCATTGGCAGCGAGTCCGATCACGCCCGCGGCCACGTCCATCCAGTCTTCCGCGCCGGCAAAGTTACTCAAGTCCTCCAAGGACCTGCGCCAGCGAGAAGCAGTGGAGAGTCAGAGCCGATCGTCCGACCAACGACGAGCCGGCGGGTAGGCCGCACTCACCTGGTGACGACGACGTCGAGGTCCAGGTAGATGCCGCCGAACTTCCAGAGGGTGAGGTAGCGCAGCACGTCGGACATGTGGCTCCTGGGCCAGTAGCTGGTCCGCAGCACGCGGCCCTCGGCGAACCAGCGCTCGAGCGGCGTGTCGCGCAGATACTCGGCCACCAGCAGCCGCATCACGCGCACGTTCCCGTAGCGCAGCAGCTGGTCGACCAGCCCGGCCGTGCGGTTGCTCGGGCCCGCGGCCGACAGGAACAGCAGGTTCACCGACATGCCCGGGTTCAGGCGCGCCGCCGACTCCACCGCGCACGCCTGCCGGCAGTTCAGCTCGGCCTCGGCCTCGGCCTCGGCCCCGGCCCCGGCCCCGTCGTCGCCCTCGCCCGCGAAGCACGAGGTCTCGTGGAAGAAGATGTTGCGTCCGCCGGCCAGCCGCACTCGCTCTGCCGAACAAAACGACCGCCTCCTGTACTGCACTCTGCCTCGCGCCAACCTATGCAGCGTGCTTCTGCGGTGATGCAGTCGATGCATCATCGCAGATGTCTTTCGAGGCTACGTCTTTCTATAGGACTCGTGAAAACATGTCTGCGTATGCGTCACTTGGCGACGGCTATTTTCATAAACGTCAATGGATTGGATACACGGGAACGCAAAGGCCAAGCTTAAAACGACCGCAGTTGAACGGCAAAACCGAACCTGTAGGAAAAAAGCGAAAAACGCGATCTCGGAGTCTGGACAGTCGGAACAAGAAAAAATTCTACCGTTGATACTAAGGAGTCAATTGAAGAAAGAGCCACCTCGACGGTTAGTGCGAATAAGCTTCATTACATCCGCAACACCGCTGATAGTTTATAACGAGCAGTTATAACAAACAAATCGGCCAATCGTCACAGTTCAAGCTGCAAGCTCGAGAAGGGCAAGTTCGTGGCGCTTTTTAACGCCTCCGGATTTTCGATTTGTCTTATACGAGCATAATTTTTTTTTAAATCGATGCCTGACCGAACTCGCATTATTCTACTTGCAGCATCGAATTTCCTAGGACTAATGCAACTTTGTTTTTTCCTTTTTTGCATTTTACAATCTTATCGTTTGTTCTACATTTAACTTACGAAAATACTTTTTGTATCTACTTTTTCGTTCTTTTCGCAATGTTAGCATTCGAGCATTTCATCTCAATTTCTAGCACGCTGCTATATTCATGTTGAAAGCTCCGATAAGGTGCGTTAATAATCTGTTTTGATGTTCTGATTGATCCTCTTCGTACACAATTAATTATATAGTCATTTATGAATGGAATATTTCTTGAAAAAAGAGAATCATCGTGTACTATAATTTTGTAATCTGCTTCAATTCAACAAACAACTCCGAGGCATCTTTTGAGTGACGTAGTACGATCCGATCATTCAGATATGCGAACCAAAATAGATCTATCACATCAATTGCTTTTATTTTAGTATTTTCTACAGGCTATCGCCAGATCTGAAAATCAGGATAGACTATAAATAAATATCATTTTGAGCACTATATTCTACTGAGATAAACGTAAATTCAGTGCTTCTTTCTAGTGTTCTACAGATTTTTCAGCATTCCTGTCCACAGCTTATTTCCTTCGGCTTTGTCGTTAACTTCATCCTTTGCTAATTTCTGGTCTTTATCCATACGCGATGAGCAATAAAATAGCATCAGTTCAAGAATAGACTGAATCCTCGTTTGAATAAATCTATATTTTTCAGAATTTCATTGTGGAAACTGATGATGAAAATGAGTTAATTTCTAATATAAAGATTGATTCCAAAGGGCCTGAACAAACTGCTGTCGATGAATGTCGATGAATTACATAACTCAAATAATATATTATCATCTATACGATTGAAGAAGCGGTTTATCCATCAAGTGCTTCATGCTCAGATATATTTTCGGATATCAGGTATTTTGCAAGTTCCGAGGAAAATTCCGTTGAAATTTTGTCAAGTTTACAAAGCTTCGAAAGTTCGTCAAGCTTGATAATCTTAATTTCCAAAAGGTATTAACTATGGCAAAGACTGAAGCAAACGTCCTGTTCTATAAAAAAACTTTCAGCTTAGAATTTCACGGTTTTCGATGATAACACGAAAAAAGTCTCCAAGTCTCAAGTTGTCTTTCGCGTTATTGCGAAAAAGTGACTTCTGACGATATATAGTTACTTTGCTATTGCACGACTCGGACAATTACAGTGGGCAAAATAGGAAGAAAAACTTACGTTGAACGCTTCTGTTAAGTAGAAAATAGAGACAAAACACAGATTTCTGGAAGTAGGACACGCGTAGAATAAGGGTGATTTTGTTCATGCTCGGATAGAGAGGTGCGCTGCAGGATGCAAGGTATACATAGTTAGTGACTGACGTGCAGCCAAATTCAATGACCTCAAATGTGAAGTAATCAACGTAACGTACGACGTCATTTATAACTTTGAAGCTCTAGCTTGGAAATCAGAACTGAAATAAAATTACAATTAGGAATGGGAAAAGAACAAGTCGTGTAGTTGGTACATGGAAATGAAAAATTACAAGGATCTTGAAAATTCAACTGGATCATTTTAAAACGTCTTCCGAAGATTATACAACATTAGCAACCAGAAAAGAAAAGGAACGAGCGAATGTAGCAAAGTACAATCTTTGCGAAGCATATGATGCAGTGCAAGGTCTTGCGAACACTATAAGGTGAAGGATTTATTAAGATGCTGTAAAAACAACATAAAATCAGCTGCGAACCACGACTATTATAAATTATTTCACATTAAATTAAGTTACATGCATATATTTGCACCACACTGTTGAAAATATAATGTATTTGTATCTAGTGAAATTGACATAAAAATGTTGCAACATTGATATAGCAAGTAGAACGATAGAAATTTAGTTAAAAATAAATTATTTTTCATTATTATTCTGTTGGTAGATCGCCGACGTTAAGTCGAAAATCCGGACGCGTTAGTAAGCGCACGAGCTCGCCGTTTTCCAGCTTCTAGCTCGAACGATGGCGATGTATTCGTCGTATATTCGTTTGTTACAAGAACGGTAAGCCTCGAGCGGCAACGAACAGGGATACGTATGTCAGTTGGTCGATCACAGAACTGTTGCGAGCGAGGACTCAGTCTCGAAAGATGATCGTGCTCCAATTTGACGAGAGATCAAGCCGATCGCGCGTGCAAGGTGGTGCACAGCTGATCGCTTGAAAATCAATCGTCGCGACGAGCGGCCAGTGGTCGAGCTGGCCGGAGACGGTCGTTCGACGACGCGCGAACGCGCGATGCAACGAGCGCGAACGTAACGAGCGTGTCGATAATCGTATTGTGTCGTGAGAGCGCGACGCGAAGGCTGTATGCGTCAGTTTGGCGTGCGCGCGGACGACCTCGCCGAAGAGAGAACGAACCTTTAAACGCTCTCTACGACGTGTTTACGTTGCAGAGGCGGTTACACAAGCGAGGCGGCAAGCTCGCGCAATTACCTTCGGCAGGGTCGAATCTGGGAAAGGAGTGCTCGCCGGCAGGCCTCTCGTAGCAGGACACGTCCATGTCGGCCGATCGGCCGAGGAGGGCGAGGTGCGCGGTGCGGGCGAGCTGCTCGTTGCCGAGCAGCAGCAGCAGCAGGGCCACGACGAGCAGGCAGACCGCGAGGAGCGCGAGGCGCTTCTTCGTCTTCATGCCGGCGCTAGCAGTCGCGAGCGCGCCGGCCCGGCGCCGCCGTGGTCCGCGCGCGCCCGCCCGGACCGCCCTCCGCCGCGGGACTCATGCTCCGCGCGCCTACATGCCTCGGGCCTCGGCACCGTCGTCCCCTCGCCGAGCGCCAGCTCCGCCGTCCTCGGTGTCGCGCGCAGAAGCAGGCCGTCGCTCGCCGCTCGCCGCTCGCCGCGCAACTGGCCACGGAGGGTGTCGAAGCGGGAGCCATGCGGCGGCGGCGGCGGCGGCGGCGGCGGCGATCGATAGTGCACGACGACGACAGTGGGGTGCGCTTCTAGTCGCCCCCGCGCTCGACGCTCGGCCGATGGGCGCATGCGTTCGGTATACTCGTAAATTGACTCGGCGCTCTCAATGCGCCTGCGTCGCGCATCCCAGCCGTACTTCGCCCGATAGATCACGTTAGACTCGCGAGTATTACTGGCACGCTCGTCTATGCTTCGACGACTGCACCGGCAAATCCCGATTATCTAGCGCACCCGTTTCCCTTCGCCGTCCGACATTGCATTCTCGCTAGACCACGTCATCTTTATCTCGCTCTCTTTACTACTTTGCTCTCTCATCGTTTCAGTTCATTCGCGTTATTACTGCCTTTCTTCTGCCATATTCGTCCAATCAGCCACTCATCGGTCCAAATTACGCATATCCTGTCCGTCTAATCGCTTCCACCGCACTATGCAGAGCAATGCCATTGGTTTACTACCGAGTAGAGTACACTTTTCCACAGCTGTGAATAATGAAAAGCATGCGATTCGCGAACCAGTCGGGCCCAAAGGCGTTTGCGCGTCGGGAGCTAGCCCATGCAAGCTTTCGTCATTCGCGCTTAACGCCTTTCACGATCGTCAGTTGTACTTCGTTCTTCTCCATTTCTTACACCAAAAACCGATAGGAAACACCTTACGATATCTCTGAGCTTGTTTTTTATGTGTTTATTGCATTTACGTTGAGTAAAAATAAATAAATACAGGTCTACGAGGTTCGGAGATAATGCCGAGACAGTGTGCAAAGTCGAAGACTACCACTGTGCTATTCAACAGCTCGATAATAACAAATAACGCATATAATACACCTTTAAGCAAATGATCAGTTGATTGTGAACTAGAATTACATTTGAAGTAGCGCTAAATGATAATTATTCAAGTTACAGCAAAATCTCGTTAAAAAGGATCGAAATTAGCAGCGTACTCGAGAGCCAAAACTCATCTTATGAGTTTTTCTTTTCTTCTTGCTCGGATCTACTGTGTGGCCGGCCGAATTTAATCTTCACAAGTTCAGAGTGCACCGATAGCAGACATTTTTTTAATTACGCTACGCGGCACATTATCACTGTCAGGAACCAAATGCGCTACCAAGAGAAGTTAATAATAAACGTTGTTTGTCACATGAAGTTATCCAAACTAGCTTCTACCAGCTTTTGTTCGAATCTTTGATGGCTTTACGAAATAAAGAGCAAGGAAACTTATGACGCAGTATTTAAACGACCCAGTCTCGTATTTATTTTAGATATTTTTGAGCAAAACTTGACCAATCGATAGCTGCACTTAAAATTTTTCGATAAAAATCGACTTATACCTACACCATGAACATATAAAGGCCAAAGTATCTATTGGTTTTTTTCGCAATATTTATAATTTAGACAACAGTTTGGAGTTGCCGACTACTGAGTAGAATTCAGAACAGCTGGAAATAATAATAAAATGATGAAAAATGTGTCATTTATATATGTTGCGTTGCATAATATATTATGCATTAAGATGCTATTATGTTGATATATTATACTCAGTACGAAAATTGAATTGGCATGACTTTACTACAAAGCATTTATTGCACTGGTATTAATAGTCTCTTTCGTGATTTCTTTGTTATATAATGACGAAGATATTGCCCTGACACATTTTTAGAATAAATTAAAGACTCGAATAAAGGTGTCATAATTAGATATGGCGTGCTAAGCACGATAGCGATTATGAAATCCCGACAAAGTATTGAACTTGTTATGAATCCGTTTGTATAGTGAAAGCGGCATCATTTACAATATATTTCATTATATTCATTAATGAAAATGAGCAAATATATCTAAAGACGTAAACTGCACAAGTCGTGCATTATATGAGCCTTGGTGGAGATTGGAGGAGAATTTTAGACAGGAAAACTCTAATGAATAATTAGCTATAATATTTTATGGCTATTATCGATATCGTAATTATGTGACTGATAGGTGCGATTCAACTTACGCTCAATACTAATTTTTATTATAGAAAGTAATAACGTAACGTAACAATAAGGTAACATTAACATGTTACAATCGCAAACCTATCGAAACGTAAGTAAGTGAATTGATCGATTATGGGTATGATTCTCTCCGTTTAGTTATCTAGTCGAAAAATGGTCAAATACTAATCTAAATCGACGAAGCAGATAACTTATATAAGGACAAAAGTGCCGCAAATATTCGTTTTCGTCTCCTGATGAGAATTACTTTAGTTCTGCATATGAATAACGGGATTTTTTCCGGTCATAATGCTAGGTGAGATAAGCACGAAGCTTCTGTCGTTTTCTGAACTGCAGCTGAATTTCATGGCAAATTAAGGGAGAACGGGCTACCTACAAATCATAATCTTCTTCCTAACAATTAGTTCAGACACTGATGACTCTTGGGTCCTCAAGTGTCCTGTTTTAAAAAGAAAATGTCTCTCATCATTTTTTGCTAAAGTGCTCATTTCAAAGGTAACGAATTTTTAAAGACCAATTGGCGATTGTTCCGATGCTTGGGCGTTACTAATTATTAAATCATTCAACTTTTCTTCATCATATGTCCTATTTATTCCTTAAGAGCTTCTCATCCGATATATTTAAAAATATAAAGTCTTGCTTGGCGGATAGCTAACAATTTAGCATTCGTTATATGGGGAAACAGTGCCCCAACTCTCCAAGGTAATAACTTTTAGAACATAGACTTATTTTATTTTCAAGTACATTGGTATGGAAGGTACTTGTACATTGGAATGTAAGAAATAATATACTTGATTAATGAAAATCATACGTAGTTTTTATTCAATAAATACAAAAACGTTAATGCAGCACAATAAATTAGGTTATTCGGTTGACTAATATTCAATCAATAAAACAGTTGGTAAAATGACCATTTGTACGAATGCTTTTATACGTTAAATTTTCGATTTTAAAAATGTGTAACTTTTTCAGACTTACATTAAAAAAACATTGCAAAAGGCCTTATTCTCTTAATAGAAAACATATTAGCCAAATCAGTTTAAACGATTAAAAACTAGTTTTGCCACTCCGAATGATTAACAAGCGTCATAATGACTAAACATGTATTTGTTTTACATGATTACGTGCAGTGTCGTTCGAATGGTTTATTTTCGGTTGGGTTGCCTCATAAAACTTTTCCCCATTGAATTATTTTTCTATCTGTGATTTTATTCAAGGTAGTAATTGTAAAATAAGAGGCATTACCATCTTAAATGAAATCTCATCAAAACGAACCATTTCAAATCTCTCAGTGCTTGATTTGCTCGAAAGATCAATTTTTGTTTAAACGATAAAACTGCGAACACTAAAAAAATACTCAAGTCTCACTCATCAGTGCGCACTCTAACTAAACTATTACGGTCTGCGACCGTACCGGAATGTCGGTACATCGCTTTTACCGACATCGGTCCGATGATTGCTAGCTGATTGCTTTTGTTGTACGAAATTGAAATTAACAAACAGGCACTTCAACACAGGTAAAGTGCTGTTTTTATGTAATGTGCTAATAATAAGCAAAGCAAACCATAGACGATTTGTTAAAAATAAGCGAAAAATCTGAAAAACAAATGGAAAAAATATACATATTTAAGACATACCATTCCGTATCAAAGTTGGTATATATTCATGTTTACCAATCTTTTTAATTATTATTTATATATCAAATAAAAACATTACTTTACCCTATGTTATCTATGTTGAAGTGCGTGCTTACTTTGTTCTATCTCGCGCCACAAGAGTTCGTAGCAGTCTAGATATCAGATCCTTATGTATTTCAGATTGAAAACGGTTGATTTTAAGTAACTGTTAAAACAGTATATATACATACATACATTAATAGCAGACACTTAAAGCTAGGTATTTTCAATATAAAAATGTACATATATTTGTCGATAAAAATAAAAATCATAAAAATGATGCCAGTGGTTTGTTGTGGTAACGAATAACGAAATCATTCGCTCTGTGTATATGTATAGTTCAGAATAAGATTGCAGCAATATCTGTGGCGGTTAAGAGAACTAAGTTTTGACCAACTGCGCAAATTCTTATGATAAAAAGAAAAAATTTTATTGATTACTTATTAAAAATAAAGGCATGAGTTATTGCAATTGACATAAATTACTGTAATATAGTATATATATCGTCAACAAATAAATGTATCACCTAATTAGAAACATAAATGTACGTTATATGACATTAAAGCTCATTTGTAAATTGGCTTTACAAACTACACTTTCGAGGGGATATCTAATATTTAAAAAAATGTAAACTTTTAATCGCATTGCAAAGATTTAAAAAAATCAGATTATGGATTGTAAATCGACAGCAGGCTGCTGCTCCCTGTCGGCGAGAAGGAACACCTACGTAGCAAGCAGTAACGTATGGGAGCAGTGCAAAATTGAACGAGCAGTCGGAGTTCGGAGTAGTTCAGAAAAATCACGAGTGTAGAGTGTGTCTACTTGATCTACTGGCGAGTGTCAAGGAAGAAGACTGGCTGGCAGTGGCGGCGTGCGGTGCGCGTGTGTTTGGCGGAGCGGCGCTGCCTGCCGATTTACATACATAGTCACTAATCACGGCTTGCAGCAGCGTTGGTTACGATTCGGTGGTTGTTTGACTTGAGATTTGGCAGAGTGCCGACTACAGGACTGCAGCAGTAGCAGCCTGTGCGCGCGAGGAGCTGCCGTGCTAAAGGCGGTGCACGACGTTATCCGCGAGGACTGCAGCGGCAACTGCTGCAGGCCTCGTTCTCAGCGAGATGTGTACAGTCCGTTACGACAACTCTTAGTGCCTTTCCCTCCTGTTTGTGTGCCCGTGCCTCGGTTCGTGCAGTGCCCGTGTGTTCAGTGCTTATTTATTCGACTGCAGATTGACAATCGACGCAGGTAAAGAGCATGTGGCAGGAGTTGGACGGCGGCCTCGGGGGCACCGCCGCTGTCACCTCCTCCACTCACCAGGTCGACCAATTCCCCGGTACAGGTAAGTGTCGACGACATAACAGCTCGTCTATGTAATTATGAAGCAGCCTCATAGTCAGCTAAGCAGTGCAGCAACGAGTTCGTAGAGAGAGAGAGAGAGAGAGAGCGATTCAGAGGGAGAGAGCGTGAGCGCGAGCGAAGGGCACACAGGCGCATGCGCGTTATCGCCCGTTCTTGGCCTGCCTGCTACCTATCCATCTCGTAAACAAAACCCGTTGCAGCCTCTCGCTCTCGGACCTTTTGAATGTTGCCCGGATAGGTGCTGCGTGCGCGTGTCCCTCGAGGGCAACAACGTTATTGCCAATGCATCGAGCGTGGCGCGCGACCATTGTTTCCGATGAGTTTCAATCGCGCGCGAGCAAGCAGCTGAGCAGGAGAGTGCATTTTTGGAATTCTCGCGAGATGAATGTCCAGTAAGGGATTGGCCAGGTACGCGTGTTGCCATTTGGAATGCGTAGTGTTCGGTTCGGAGCGGAGCGACGAAGAAAGTTTTTCCATCGGAAGCGCGGGGGCGAAAGGCGAGGGCGAGGAGGACAGGTGACGACGGCTGTTATTGGCGCCGAAGCGAATCGATGACGAGCCGGCGAGGCGCTCTCAGCTGCGTACGGTAGTTTTCGTCGATAGGCGCGCGAACGACGAGAAGACGCTGCAGGACGCGCCGCCCGTGAAAGCCGCTCGCTCGTCGAAGGAGACCGATGAACGATCGCCCCCACTCGGTTCTTATCAACCGAGATGCGTATCGCTCGACGTACGTTGCGTCACAGCCACGTCTCGCTTGTTATCCGGCGAATTCAGCGCACTCGCCATGAGTCATCTCGACGATCAGCCTCATCGGACAATGAGCAATTGCACGCGCGGCACCTTCCCGGCGGAAAGTCAATCGTTGGCGATTACTCAGAGCCGACAAGGTGGCTGGCTCGAAGCGATGCGCAAGCGGAATCAGCTCGACATCCGATTTGGCGCCCATTCCCTTGCCCAAACGATCGGCACTTCGGCTCCTCGGTCGACCGCGCCAGCAGCAATTACTTACTGCCCCTAATAGTCGATGCATTTCGCTATTCGCGTAGGCCACCGGCGTCCGCTTCGAAATGCAAATGCGCTTGGCGAATGCGCTTGCGACGGACATTTCGAATGGGCGCGTCGCGAAGAGCTGAATTTTGATGGGCTGCGAACGCTTTTTGAAAGTAAAATAACCTTGTGAATGCGGACGAACGAACGAGAGATCGGCTGGTCGGTCCCGTATCGACTGCTAGCTGCGCCGCGGTTCGGGCGTACTGCTCCTCTTTCCCTTCCGTTCGGCCGCCGAGCCTCCGGCCACCAGTCTTTCGGCTCGAAGCAAGGGGAACCGCCGACGAGTCGCCCGCCGGTCGGCCAATTGCGCCACGGAGACCGTTTTGCTTCCGTTACGCCAATCGGATGGCGCGTCGATTGGGTGTCGGCGATCAAGAGCAAGAGTACGTATCTATCGATTGGCCGTGCGACGCCGTGTCAGCTGCGCTTATATTCAAATCACACGCCTCGCTTTCCCCTTCGGCCGTACTTCGTCGGCGTAACGGCGCTTCGCAGGCTCCGCTCGATCCGATTGTCGCGCTGCTGTAGGCAGCAGCTGCGCACCAGTGCCGCCCTGCCAGTACACGCCAATTGACCCGATCTCCCCTCCAAAACCGAGCCGCAATGGATGTTGCGAGCGACGCGATCGACCACGCGCCGGCACAACTTTAATTGCCGTCTGTTTTTCACTGTTGCAGAGCTGAGTCCCGAGCAGCAGAAGCTGCTCATTGACATTCGCAGGAAGAAGTCCGAGCTACTGCTGGAAATACAGGTAAAGCAGAAACGAAAAGAGCCAGCTCAGTTCGGAATTACCGAAGCTCGTTGCGCGAAGAGCAGCTCGCCTCGATCGAGTCGACATCCCGGCCGGGCGATCAACGCCGCGTCAAGTGCCCGAAGTGCCGTTGGCCCGCCCGAGCGGATCGATCGCCAGATGTAAGCTTAACGAGATGAGTTAGGTTGCGCCGCGTCCACCTACTTTCTCCAAACTCAATTCATCGTGGAAAAGTCCAAAGTCGAGTCTGGTGTGCGCGCACGAGAGGGAGGAGCGTCCTCCGTGTGTTCGTCGTGGGTCCACGTATTTTGACGCGCGCCCGCGTTGCGAGCTCCTCCCCCCTCGACTCGGCCGAAGCCGCCTCGAGCCGGCGCGTCGCGAGCGAACGAACGAACGAACGCTCGCTTGCTTGCCAAGCGCGAAAAGTTAGACTTGCCCGTCGCGCCCGGGCAGGTGGCCCCAGCCACCTCCGCTTCGCCGGGCCCTCGGTCGCTGCCGCGACTGTAGCCAGCAACTTCCGGGCAGCAGCCAGCGCCCCTTCGCTGCCAAGGCGGCCGCTCGCCGGACACTCGCGACCTACTTGCCCGAGGGTTCTCGCTGACTTGACGCTGACTGGGGGAGCGCTGGACGACGTCCCGCCGACCGGTCGGCGTGCAGGTGCGGACCCGCGAACAGTCGGCAGGCGTGGCTGCTGCGCGAGCCTCCCGCGGGACTATTTTTGGAGGCGTCGCATAACTGCGCGGCGCCGTGTGCATTATGAAGCGGGAGCGCGACATTGGTCGCGAGGGTTTCGGGTGGCGCACCGGCGCATCCTGCTCCGGGCTCCGGCCTCGCGCCTCCTTGTCACCGCTCGTCGGCTCGCTGCTCGATCGGCAAGCTCTGCTCTCTGCTTCCTGCCAATTTCCCAGTCGGAACCAGCGCGCTCGTGCGCTCGTGCGCTCTCTTCGAGCCCTACCTTGCCGACCTTCGCGGCCAAACATTATAAAACCGCCTGGTCACATCCGAGCGCACGTTTTATGACCAATTACACGCCAGAAACCGCGCGACTTCGTGCCCGCTTCATATCTGTCGCTGGAACTATCGATAAACTCGTTGTCCAACAAGCGAACGGGTCCTTCATTATCTAGCAAAACCACCAAATTCCTCATCACCTTGACAAATAACAGCTGTGAAAAGGAGAATCCAGGTGTGCTACTTACTCGACTATGTAAATGGACATAGTTGATGCGTTGCAGTTTTAAATCAATAACATTCACTGACTACAACTAATCGACTAAAGATTGATTATTATTCTAAAATAAGGAAAGTTCACTTGAACAATTATATCAAGTATCAAAGCATTATTTGGAGAAGGTAGAAAATGCATTAACGTGGTTTTAAAGAGTTGGCGAACGGAAACTAGTTGCAATAAAATCATACTAATACTGTTAAGAGTGATGCTATTCCACGAACAATGCTTTCAAAATGTATGTCGTACATTTTTTCACAACTTTATTTGAAAACACATTGCATAGCCAAGTTCTAAATATTTAAAGATTTTAGAATTTTTTTCAACCATTAATTAAATTTAATTAATAAAGTTCGTAGATGTTTTCTCGTTCAAATAAATTGCTTGTGCTATAAACTTTTAAAGATTTTTATGAAACTAGGCACCTTTATTACATTATTCTTTATTATCTAATATAATTTAACATTTATTTTTCTAAAATGAACGTGTTAATAATTTTGTTTACAACTTTTAATTAAAAAAATACGTTTTTATATTTGTAATATCAATAAAATTGAAATTTTCTATAAGTGCCACTCTTTGTAAACATGATTTTTAACTATAAACAAGCTAAATTTTGAGGGAGTCCCACGATCGTACTCCAGACATTGCTACATTTAATTGACCATGATTAAAAACACCTCTGCAGAGTTCAACAGCAATGTTGTCAAACGTTTGACCTTGGGTTTTTATAGCAATCGCAAATGCTAATTTCACTGGAAATTAACGTCTTTTGACAGTAAATGAATACTCATTTGTACAAAATAATGAAATGCGATTAAAAAAGAAACAATGTTATTCTCTTTATCTTCCGTTAAAACTTGGCATTTCGATAAATGACTAGAACAATCTAATGCTCGCATGTGCGTACTATTACATAAACCTTCATGAATACATATATGGGCGATAAACATTATTTTTAATTGTAATTCATATGGAGGTAAACTGGAAGGATTGAAAGAATTCAAATATTCAAGTAAAATTACTTCATCAAAATCAGCATTATATCACAATGATCCGTACTGTCAAATGCAGTATAAATGTTCTGTATTTATATCTAATTATTAATTTATTTATTTAAATCATGAACATCAGCGATCTATGCAGATAAATTAGTATATATACTCATTACGTGAAATTTCTTTTCTAAGATTAATTTACCAAATGCATTCTGATTGATGTTATCACTTATACGAAGAATACAATATTCGACTAACGTTGAATTATCTTTTTAATCATTTAAAATCTCATCTCCAATTAATAATAAGAATTTCGGACTTTCAGATCCGGAAATCCGGAAATTGAAAGATCGGACTTTCATATTTATCGTAAGTTTGTATATATGATAAAATATTTTCATAACTAACTGTACTTCATAGAAAGGTTCGAAGTTTCAGTTTGTATTCCGTTAATTCTGGTCGGAATAAGTTATCTAAAATATCATCTAAAACCGTAATTTTACCACTGAAAGGTTATTTGTTGTTCGTAATATTTGCGTAAGCATTCTGTTTATTATTTCTAATGTATATTGCGGAGCCATGGGCGCTTCGTGCCAAATTATTATAAACTTTTACTTCTTTTAATAAAAGTCCTTCTTTAGATTGCGCTGTAATATTCGAGGATGGATCACTATACATAGAAACGGGAAGATCAAATGTTTAATAAGCTGTTTTTCCTTATAGAAGTAATATTGTCGCAATTCCAGTGAAAGCCATCAAAGATACTTCTATATATCTTTTAAACGCAATAAATTATAAATAGTTTTATAAATAAAAGTTCTCCCAAATCTTCCTGGACCGTCAATATATATACGTATAATTATTCACGTGATATTAATAACGGTTTCTAAATCCAATACATCAACAATGTCTTTTTTCACCTATTTCTCCAAAACTTATCCGCAACAATTGATCATTGTTAGATTTAGCTAGTAAATGAGTAATTACTGAGTGATTTATTTATATTATTAATAAAATGACTTATAAATAGGGTTCGTCCGTGAATAATCTACAGAAAAAGCATCTTTGAATGTATCTTATAATTCTTTAGAATGTATAGGTTGGCAGTGTATTAAAATGTGAAGTGAAACGTGGCATCATTCATATTGTTGGTTTTTGTAGCTCTTTAGCCCACTCTTTGTCGTCTTCCTGCTGTAGACGACGGTCGTAGCATGCCATTAACTGTTTTCAATGAATCAAAGCTTGTAGCTCATTTTACATGCAAAAGCAGAAATCGTAAGTGGAATAACTCTACTTGTGTAAGATTGACAGAAAACATTCGTTCAAAGAAGTTGAAATGTTTTTTACGTGTTAATACCCACTTGTTTACTGCGGCACATTTTTTCGTTTTTATAAGTAGAAAGGATGGAATGTCACAGTATTCACGTGCATTTACATTTTTAATTCAACTTGAAATAATTAAGTGATTTATTACTTGCTTCGTTAAGATTTCCTACGTAGTTTGCATTATTAATTATAATAGATTGTCGATTTGGTAAATGGACTGGTAATCGTTCTATAGTTTGACTTTTATCTTATAATTTTTTCCTCAATGTTCGATAACATACTTGAATTGGTCCAACATATCGGGTTTTTGTACTTCATCATGATTGATAACATTTCTTCATACATTTTCAATTCCAATAGTAACGGTATCACGTTTCTTATAACTATAGTTATTATAGCGGGCGTATTCGAGTTTATACGCGCAGAGAGCACTCAATGAGTAAATGAGTGGTTTTCACTCCAGGTAGCCATGTTCGAGTTAGTATGGTCGTAATTTGGCTAAACATGTGGGGCCGTATGTCGGTGAAGTGGATAGTACAACGCCGATCGGTAATGCCACCGCTGTTGCGAATTTCTACCGATTCAGTCGCGCTACGCCCTTTCGTGTCGTAGTTTATTTATCATAATTAAGTAAATTAAGTATATTTATTGAACGAAGCTCTCGCTTCCTCAGTCCTATACTATCCTGCGAAACAAACATTTTACTCGTGCTGTACTAGTGTTTAGCTCGCTCAAGGCACATGAATAACTAATATAACCATTTGAAAGCTCTAACACTGGAAACAATTTCCACAGTTATGCGACAGTCAAACATTCCTAATAATTCACGGCAATATGGTACAATACACCGATCACCAATACTATGGCCATTATGAGTAATATCATTATCTCTCCGTTCATAATGAGAATATCCGTTTTCGTTCATAGTTGTGTCATTTTTAAATTCTTTTAGATTTTATTTTGAATACTTGAAAGTTCCATGAGTCAGATTTTTCACAACAATCCAAAATGAAACTGGATCAAGGTCTTTGTCAGGAAGTTCAAGCGATAGGAATTTATTGATAATGTCCGGTGTAGTTATTTTGCAAGGATATTTTAAAATTATATAAGGAAGCATATGCGGTAGACCCTCCTTTGAAGTTCGACAACATAAATAAAAGATACCAATTCCCTAAAAAAATTTTTTTGTGGTACAATGTCAAGTGAGCAGTTTAAAAAAAATTTAAATAACCGAGCCACAATATCTGGCCTATCTCATGCCTGTTGGTCTATCTAGGGTTGTGGTCATTAAAAAAATATCTAGTTTACTCGTTTTACTTACTAAAGCCATTGCAGCTTGATAAATTTCTTGCATATGACGAGGAGAGCCCAAGAAAGTTGATGGTAAAATTATGGTTCTTCATACTAAACGATCAACATCGTTAGCAAAATTTTTCAAATAATTATGT